TTTAACTAGAAATACTGGGCATAACTATTACAAAGTAAACAATTAAACTAGTATGATAGATTAAATAACCGAAAACATTCCCCCCATTAACTCTATTTCGTCTGTCTGTCGGAAATGGAAAAAATAATTTTGTCCAATTCGTCTAAAATAACAACTTTTCTGCTGAACATTATATGTGTGTGTGTGTGTGTGTGTGTGGGGGGGGGGGGGTATTGGACCGGTCATGGAGCGATGCAATCTGTTTCACAGAGAATTACGAGTCTCGTATAATATCTCTGTCATAGATGACTGCCTTAACACGTGCTGTCACAGCACGCGGTGTGAATCATTGGCTGAATGGCGCGTGCATTGTTTACATAAGACATAACTGCTTCGGAGAGAATGTTGCATTTTAGTCATTTTAATACCCATTTACACTAAATCGGAAATAATTTTTACCTACAAATACGTCAAACGCTTTTATTTATTTTTCCAATATATACAAAAAATGTTTTAGAATTTAATTTGTGGCAGGAAAAAAGTTAATATTTCTAGCTCATTAAGCCGCATCAATGTCATCCTTATCAGTGATTATCGCGGCCAAGCAAATATTCACTGCGGATCAGTGTGGGAGCGATGATGATCATGTTGTATGTGGCCGGTGGCTTTAACTGGTCGCCACGCCATCACTGGAGTCTGGAATGGGCTGGTATAATAGACTTTCTGGGCCGGGTGTGCTGGGTGTGGGCCGGAATTCGGAATCCTGCAATGGGGATTCCGAATTTCATCCGAAAATTTCATCGAATTCAACCGACACTGTCGGGGTAGCTATATTTTGCGTCCAAGATCAAATTTTACTTTTATTTTTATTTCCGCCAGCCGCTTCTGACAAACGCATTCTCATAATTAAATTTGTGTGGCCTTATACTCGAATATTCATTATCTGAACTAATGCTATGTTCATTAATCAATATGTAGTGTGTCAAATGTTCAAGTTCGGGGTCAAGGTAAAATAATTTACCTGGAACAACAAATCCAAAATTCAAAAAGCAGCTTTCATGAATTTCACCTTCGTCACTCTGTACCAATGTGTCTCGTGGCCTTCCATCACAGGAGGAATCAACTAGCGCTCCCGGTAACAAGAATGGGACATTTTTCAATGAAAATATTCCTAATTATTCAATATTCCTAACTGGTTAATCAAATGGTAACAATTTTCTCAACCAGTTAAATTCTCTTGACTCTTGATGATACAATGATAATACGTTAATTAATAATTTGACGATATGATAATTTCACAGGTTGATGGTTGTAAATTACTTGCAGGTCGGGGTTTTGGCCTAAATTAATCGATTTATGAGATATATTATTTGACAGAGGTTATAATCAGATATGCCACCAAATCGCATATTTGGGGTTCATTTTTCAAAATTTTGTCGGGGGAGAGCCCCCGGTCCCCCGTCCGGGCTCCGCGGTCAGTAAAAGGGGCCGCTCTAACACGGGAGCCCGGGCCGGTTCCCGGCCCCAATCCGCCCCTTACTCGGGGAAGACATTTTACTGTAAAGGAATTTGTAGAAAGGGGGGTTTACAAGCTTTTGTGTTAGTTTGATTAAACCTGTATTCAATAATGTCTATCATTAAAGTGTGTGTAAATAAACAGTTTAAATGACAGGGACCACCCAACAGACTTTACACCTATGTTTTTTGCAGTGTCGCCATTAATTTATTATAAAGAATAATGTAATACTAAGCTGAAATAAAATCTGATGTGCCGTCCCAATATTTCCCAATTAGTGAAATCAATACGATCTATCACTAAAAATCACAAAAAATTGGATGGAGGATTCGGTAAACCGATGGATCTGTAAAACCAGTAACGTTTTAGTGGATCTGAGCTTTAGTGATTCTTCGGGTTTTAAAATTCCCCCATTTAGTAATTTTAATTTGACGTCCTATTTGTTCGTTATTCGATGTTTTGAAGATTCTGACTTTCTAGATTTAAAAGATTTACCCTTTTAGCAATTCCCAAATGGCTGGCCCCACCATTCCCTTTTAGTGATCGCTAGATCAATACTCGAAGATTTCTTAGTTTCTGGATTTCTTTTTTGTGGTAATAGATTATCTTAAGGTAATCAATAGTTTAATTAATTTACCTGGAAGGATTCCGAAATTCTTCAGACTCATGTTAATCTATGGTATCTATATCCACAATGTATCTAAGCACCTGTATATATTGTAAATCAAGAGTAGTTTCACCTACAGTTAATTGCTGTGTGATTTCTTTGTGGTACCTTATTAAAGTGACTTTACAAATGTTTGAAACCTGACTTAGTGGTAATTCTAGTGTAAATCAGTATTTATTCTACGGTTATTTCGTGAGTACGGGTGACATAAACATCTTACAAGAGTGTCAAAAGGTTTTACTTTGAAAACAAGAAAAATATAATTTGTGGAGAGGTCAACACGACAATCGCTTTCCAAACAACACGTACGTCGGTATTGTTATTGTTGATTTTAACATGGCTGGCATTGAACGCGTTGATACAAGGAATCTAACAATTTTATACAAAACGAAATGTGATCTTTCCTTGATAATGATGACATCGGAGTATAAAATAAGCGTGCAATGCCTCTATACAATGATCATTACATGAAATGACCCCATCTTAAACCACGTATTAAATTGCATACCTTTTAAATTTGTTCGTTTTAATTGTGGTGGGGGTGGAGTGATCTGGCGCGTGTACTTTAGATCATTGGCTCCGCCATTCAGTTAAGTGGCACGGTCTCGATCCCAGGCTTGTACGTTGCAAGGAGTATGGGGCGCCTGTCCAACCTCGTGGGTTTTTCGGTTCCGTACTACTGCTACAAGACCCCTACACACAAGCAAATTATTTAACTGAATTGTATTATTTAATACCGATTTGTCCCCCCTCCCCCCTCTCTCTCTCTTTCTCTTTCTCTCTCTCTCGTTTTAAAATAATCAACCATCCTGTACACCTGTACAACTGGAAGATGAATACATCTAAAACTTAAGTAATAAAAGCCATTAATCATAATCATGGTTTTCTGAGTTAATCGTATAAAACTTTCCATCAGTAATGGACACTATATAAACGTTTTTTAACGTTTTAGACAGCCATGGTCAGAACATGGGATATGCAAAAAGTGCAGTGATCTGTCTTTCTTAGATTATAACTTGCATTACCTAAAACATCAATATCAGACAAGTTTTTTTTCTTTAAACTTTAAGTCAAACAACCCACGCCGTCTTCTTTACCAAGAGAATTGGCCTTACAAAGATAATTTGATTTTACGACTTTTAATTATGGGTAACATTGGAGACTATTTTTTAAAAGATATTGTATTACGCGCTACTTTTCGCAAAAATATAACACCCGTCGATATAAATATTTATATATAACTCAGAGTTTGCACTTCACTTAGATGGTGCTGAATCAGATTGGTTCAAATAAACGGCGCTTCTACGAAGGTTACTACGGGGACAAATTTAGGTATTTAATTCTTCTAAATCGCATTGATTTCATAATACGTTAGAGAGTATATTGCTTTGATGGTGTTTACTAAAGTTTATTCAAATTAATTTTCCTTGTTCCATAGTTGTGATGTCCCGGTATAATGGGTAGTTTAAGGTAGTTTCTACTAACGACTTGAAACAAAATTTGCAAGAATGATTGTTTTGTAATACCCATACAAATGTTTGTAGAATTTTAAAATCTAAGTAGCTTGGTCCCCTGATTATATAAAAATGGACAGGTAAAATATTGAAAACTTTCTTTAATTGTTGGTGTAGACGATATACTAAAAATACTCGTGTTTTGAAAAGTATACGACATACTATGTTAGTTCTATATCATGATTACACCACCCCATGCATTGAATGAAGTCCCGAAATGACCTAGTTTGTGTCGAGTGGACGTTAAACCCCATTTCTCTCTCCCTCTCGCATTGAATGAAGACCACTGCGGCGTCCTTTATACTTCGTGGATTACTCGCGTTATCGGTTAAATTATGTTATGAGTTACTCGTGTTGCATATACAATAACTTCCGGGTTAATAATGCCAGCTCAATTTTTCGTCATAGGTCACGAGATGTAAACAGGGCAAGGGCTAACCCCAACCCATAGAGTTATATATAGCTCTATGCCTCAACCCTAACTCTGCGGCTAGCCAAATGCTTACCCTAACCCTAACCTACAATCTCCGCCAACAATCACGCGCACTAACCTTATTTGCATCTCAGCGACCTTGACAAAATTGAGCTAGCCTTAACAAATAGATTTAGCCATTGTTGTTGACTCCTTGAACGTTTTGGATAAAAAAAAAATGTTTATTAATATATTTATATTATATACTTGACAAACACAGTAAACCGTTCAAGGTCGATCCATAGCTTATTGCTGAAGTAAAGTTGACAAAGTTAAACATTTTATTAGATCTACGTGTTTATATTTAATTAATCGCGTGTTGATATTTGTAAGGTCCTACTCCTACTTTCAATTTCTGATTGGTTAGAACTAGATATCGAAACTTTCAGTCAACCAACGAAAGAATTATAAAAAGAATCGGCGTTTAAAACTCAAGGTGTAAATTCTGTGATGCAGAGAGTTTTAACAGGAGCGTATTTTTACAGCATAAGACCATTTCTTGCCAGAAACTGTAGAGGAATGGCATCGAAACTCGAAAAACCGGTTGAAACTTCCATAAGAAGCAAACTAACAGAGACATTTCAGCCAGTTGTATTAGAAGTTTTAAATGAAAGTCATATGCATAGTGTCCCAAAAGGATCAGAGACACATTTTAAAGTTGTGGTTGTTTCTGATAAGTTTGAAACTATTCCACTGATAAAGAGACATCGCCTTGTGAATGAATCCCTACAAGAAGAATTGAATTCTGGTGTACATGCATTATCTATTGTTGCAAAAACATGTAAACAATGGGAAGATTCTGGTCAAAATATTGGAAAATCCCCTCCATGTATGGGTGGTGCAGGTCTCTAATTCTAAAGTAAAATTTGAAGAGATGCTGATTGCTATATGTATGCATTTTAATGAAAATAAATAATTTTATGACTGTTTTTCATTTTGACCAGTTTGTAATCTCAGACATCTTTACCATTTGTTTAACTTAGGCATTATGCAAGAGCTAAATGTGCCTATTGCAAGTATTTCTTTAGGCCTTAAATTTTATATGAACTATTAAAGATACATTATGGAAGATTAAATAAAGAGCTGGCAGTTCGCACTGTAGTACAATGTAGTTAAAAACTAGATAATATAAAGGGAATATGCTGAAAATTTCAGTCATATTGCACCACTCTGAACCGAGATATTAGCGATTGAATTTTGGGCCTCGTCCCGATCATCATTACTAAAGTCTGTACAATAAAAAAAAAAGTCTTGATTATCCACGTTTTCGTTTAATCATCAATGAGTGGGGAACAGCAGATCGGATTCAAATCCAGTGAGAATCCGACACATGAGATGGCATCGAGAGATGATCACGGTCTTTTCATGTTAACAAATGTCTAATAAATAGTTTATATCACATTTCAGACCCAAAGAAAGACCTTCAATAGGCAGATTTAGCTCTTGCATAATGTAGGCTATGTTTAAAGATACATTAGTAAAGACTTTAATAAAGAGTTGGCCATATTCTTGCTATAATAATTCAAAAATAGATGATATAAAAAGAAAATATTGAAAATTGCAGTCAAATTACTTTATTTTTAACAGGGTATCACTGTTGAAAGTTTAGACTAGAAATAGGCATCAACTGTCCCTGCATCATCTCTGAGAATTGCAGATCGTTTGGTTGACAGACGATAACTCCACCCGCATATTCCCGATTATCAAGTAACATTCTCAATGGCTTCAGCCTTCAGTACCCTCGATTGACAGGCCTTTCATCGGCAGTCTGCGGCAGTGATGTCAGTCAGCAACGGTAAACGTTAGCTTGGTCAGCCATTTATTGATTTAATTATGAAATGGTCGACTGTTTAAATCCAAGCTATATCCAAGCCATCCGAGGGTCTACAGAGTTGATTTTGAGCTTGTCATGTAAATAAAGGTCTAATTAATAATTTCTATAATGTCTAAAGCCTAAAGAAAGACTTGCAATGGGCAGATTTAGCTCTTCACTAATTGTATCTTTAACTAGACATTATATTAACATGTCAAGACCATAATCAACTCTTGATGCCATCTGATGGGTCAGATTTTCAACAGATTTGAATCCAATCTGTGGTTCAATGGCTGATGATGAATAATCTGTAAAAATGGATAATCAAGACTTTTTTTTATTATTGTAACAATGGTAACAATGATAATCAAGGCTACAGTGTTTTTAAAATGAGGATTTCTTGACTCGGAGTGAAGTAATTTGATTGAAATTTTCAGCATATTCCCTTTACATTATCTTTTTTTAACTATTAGTATTATAGCGAGAACTGTCGGCTCTTTATCTAATCTTCCATAATGCCACTTTAAGTCCGAAAATTATTTTGGACAGTACATGTACCTACAAGGTCATTTGTAGTTCCCCCACGGGCCCACCCAAGCCTTTTCAACAAAGGATATCTTGTATAGACTTGGAGTCTAGATCAAATGATCTTCAATATTCCACAGACTCTGAATGTGAAATAGAAATATATGATCGAATATGAGACTGACAATCAGTCGACCACTGATGCATGATTAATAAATATCGGTATTGAACATTTATGATTTGACTGATTAATTTTTGTTAGTTTGATATCAAAAGAAAGAGAAGGAAATTCTTTCAAATGTTTAGTTTATTTATTTATGAACACTCACAATAATACAGAACATTTATTAAGAGTTTATTTAATGTACATTTGTAATTTAGACTATTCATAAGCAGTCTCCTCTAGAAATTTTGTGGGTGTTTTAAATGGCTCCAGCAAAATACACTCCTGTGTAATTGTCAGATCTCAAGGCCTGATCATGTGAAATGCAATCAAAAATGTTCTGCACTAAGGGCGCCAGATAGTGAAAATGTTTTTAAAATTCAGTTAATTAAAAAAGGAAACAAATGTTTTCTCTGTACTTTCCTTCAAAAGTTTTTTTTTTGTAAGGAGTGGAAAAGACTTCTCAGTAAATAAAACAATTATTGACCTTTGATTTTGAAGAGTTTGAATCAGTTATTTTGTAAATGGAAGAGATTGAAATGAGATTCTATGTAAAATAAACTTCACTCCAAAATTTTGAGGGTCCTGTCAACTTACACCAAAGTTTGCTATGAAATTTGGAACTGGTGGGTTGGACAGCAAGTTGTTTTCGTTCCTCTTTATTATTTGTAATTTTCGAGGAAACCAAGATGGCGGCGCCCATAGCGGACGACGCTTCATTTACCAGAGCATTAGATGGCATTTTTAAAAGCTGGACTGCCCTGCAGGTAATTCTGTTAATTTGTTTTTAGTAAGTAACTTGGTAGAGAATAATACAATCGTAAATTGAAATATTTAAATGTGATATATTTTTACATTGCATCACTTGTCAAATGACGACAAATTTCGTGTGCGATGGAGGTTCCAAGAAGATAAGGACTACTTGCGATTTATACGGAACGCAATCGGTTTATTCCAGTTATGAAATCAAGCATTGCTTATATAATATTATAGAGACAAAACTTCATGCAGTATGTTATGCGAGGGTTATTTCTTAGCACACACATCTTATCGTAGTCATTCGCAGGGTAACTGTAACACTAGTGAGTAGTTTATACATAACCATTTCAGAAATGTCTCTGCTCATTTTAATCTGTACGTTGGAGAAGCAGATGTTATCCTAATCCAGTAAACATCGCAGGCTAGCGTTGACATCGAGATTTGATTATGGTCTGGATAAGTTAATTAATGTCTAATTAATGATTTATATAACATTTCAGGCCTAAAGTCTAAAGACCTGCAATAGGCAGATTTAGCTCTTGCATAATGGATGTTTAAGGGTTGTACTACTACTAGTTACTTTAGTAACAGATATTCATATTGCTTCGCTCTCTATCCAGAACGAAGCGATAAGAATATCCGTTACTAAAGTAACTAGGTTCTTTCCTTTTCAAACTAGTGTGTGCAACAGTAATATTGATTGAATCGTTAATACCAGACTGAATTTATATTTTATCTAGTTAGCAGTTAGTCATGGTTTTGGTGGTGCCTACAGTCAGGAAAAGGCGGAATGGTTAGTGTTTGCAACAGAAACTTGGTTTAGTGAAAATTGTAAGAATATTTATTTTTGTTTTATTTCAAATAAAAAGATAGGGTATTTGTGTGATTGTTGTAAAAGCCTAAAAGGACTATTAATCGACAACAATTGGTCAAATCATTACTATTTTCAAAATCTGCGTAGGCTTTGTTAACAAAATTTAAGGAGATTTTGACATTTAGATACCGGTAATTAATATTTGCAGAAATGGGAATACATGTACTTATTATTCATTAAAATATCATGATATATATTGACTTTAAAAAGGGAGAGGGGCTTTACATAGGCTAAGCCTGTTCCCCAATCCCATTCAGACAACCTGAATAAAAATATTGTTTATAAAAAAAAAAAAAGACTTTAAAAATCGTACTACAAGATACTGTTTGTTCAAAACTTATCACAATGTACTGATATAACATATACCTGTATATTTTTACCACCCTGCATTTTATTAAATTGTTCAGAATAATAAATTTCCGTTTTTAAAAATTACATTGTGAATTTATATGCAAGAAGTCTTTCACTGAGCAAATGATAGGAACAGTATGGTAATAATTCAAACAAAAGTAAATTCTTTATAATGCAACATTTGTGTCTCCCTACCTAGAAATACAAATTATTTGTGACAGTTTTTCTTTTACATTAAAACATTTTTAACCCAACGGCCACAAAGGCCAGAAGGCACTGCCACTGGGGTGATTTAGCATCCTGGGCGGTGGGGTGCACAGATGGACTTTGAGGGCTGCAGGTGGCATTGCAGGATGCCTGTTGGGGATCCCTTATTAGAGTCTGATTACTCTGATTCATTATAATATTTATTACAGCTAGAATAGAAACATATGAGTGTGAAGAATACCTAGAAGATGTGTTAAATCAAGAATTTGATTTAATAATTGAGGATGGAAGTTTAAGTGAAGTAAGTGATACCGCACATCAATAATTCTCAACCATTCGAAACTAAGATTAATAGTTAAGTGGACAAACTGTTGACGTCAGAGTGCACTAGCCTTACAGATGACATGCCTGAATGTGCAGTCTTTGGGTGTTTAAATAAGACCAGCAAAATTGGAAAGTGATCTATTATAAAATTGCCAACTCCAAACAGAAAACCAGCGGAAAGGTACAGAGCAATTCTCTGGTTGTGGAACATTGGTTCTGGTCATGAAATAAAAAATATTCAACAACAAGGCTGTTTCTTCGAACCATTTCGATAACGACTTGCGTGGTGAATTGTTGTGGATACACTTAGTTTCAAAAAAAATAAAGGTTTAAAACCAGATGCCTTTCCAACCATGTTCAGCATTAATTGGCAGTCAGAAACATCGTCTTGAGCAGTGCACTATTCTAATAGTAAATTAACTAGGTTTGGAGTTTGGACTAGATGACGTAATATGTAGTGCACTATGATGTCAGACATTTGTATACTTCTAATTTTTATCTTCATATTAAATCATGGACAAATACATTTTAATTATCAGACAGAAATATATACATTAATGTATTTTCCGAAGAATGTCTTGTTTACTTGAACCTTTCCTTTAATATTTTCTGATTTTTCTCCTACCGATATGTAATTAGGACACTGATCTCACACTACATTTAGCAAAGCCCACAAATTTTCAAGTCCTGTTTTTGATAGTCAGTTGTAATTGGGTTGAATGTTTACCAAATACTTCCAATTAAATTATAACAAGATCTTTATTTCATTTTGTTGTTGATATACTGTACATAGGATCTAACCACATGATTACGGGTTATATATTCCCTTTCTAGTCAGATTAATTAAAAAGAAACAGATGTATTGTCTAATTATAAAGCAAGGAACCTAGGTTCACCCATATACACTTTTACATCCATGAAGGGTGGGATTCAAAGAAAAGTAAATTTTCCTCCCTTGCAGTGTACATATTAATCATAGAACTGTTACATGTAGTTTCAGTATGACCAATATATTGTGTTGATGAGATGGTAACTTGATTTCAGTCTGTTGCTGTATAAAAGCAGGAAATTATTTTACATATATCCTGTTCACGGAGTTATAAATTTATGTTTTAGATAGCCAAAAAAATATGTAGATTTTACCAGTTATTTAAAGAAAAGAAATATGATGAAATAAAAGAATATATTAGAACATTACCTGTTGCTCAGGTTAATAATTGTCAGAAGGCAGAAAGTGATGAAGAAATCGAGGCAAGTGGTAAAGTTTTATTGAATATGAATTGTTATTGCTTTAAGGAGATAATTGTTAATGTCTGTATCCAAGAAAAATAGACCAGTACATTCACAATGGAAAGATTCTGTTTATTAATCTATTTATAGAAGCTATATATAACTCCTTAAACTTTTGTTATCCCTTGAATTAGTTCTTCTATCTAACTCATCTAAGATAATATAAATCAGCTTTTATCTCTTTATATTTAGAACACTGTAAAATAGTGAAAGCAAGAAAAAAAAATAGTACCAGGCTTGGGCATAATGACTTTAGTTGTTTTTGTTTTTTTTTCTAAATTTTTAGAGTGACATAGATGAAATCAATGACGGCCCCTCTACATCTGGTAGCACTAATCAGCAACCCACACAAAGTACGTCACAAAGTTCATCTGCACAGCAACCCAATAGTAGTATGTCTTTAGTATTTAATTAATTGAAAATTTATCAGAGATATAAATATTCAGTGGCTTTTTGTGTTTGTAGACCTTGCTGTGTTATTATATGCAGTTCAGGAAGAATTCCATTTGACTCACAAAAGTATCCTGTCACAAGTATTTAAGAAGTTTTTGTCTGAATCAGAAACAGTTGCCATGCTCGAGATCCTGAAACTCAATGCATGTAACAAAAAACTTTTTATGTTCAAAAAATGGATTTTAATAAATGTATACATATTATATAGCAAATAAATATTATCTTTTTGACTTTAATCTTTGTTCTACTTTAATTTAGATGTGAGCCAGTCAAGTAGGAATGAATCTAATATGGAAACAGAAGAAGAAGGTGATGGTTGGACTGTTGTTGGAAAAACTAAAAAGAACAGATAGTGATCAATAGTGTTCTTAAAGACTCTTATTAACAATCTTCATGGTTAACATGCTTTTAATTAAACGGAAGGAAAATCTCTTCACAAAGTGTTGGTGGTAGTACACTTAGGGATTGTTGATACTAACTATTTTTCTTATAAGTTAACATCACAGTCATCAGTGATTTTGTTTGATTTATCCTAGCTTGACATTTTGCAGAAAAGAGAATCCAAGGATATCATGGGAAAGACTGCTTTTGAACAAACATATCAGAAGCGACCTATACGCTGTATGAAAAGTTAAAATCAGCTGCCTATTTGCAGGAGTATTTGGTGCATTTTCTTTAAACTTTCATTGGTGAAAATATAGCCTATCAAAGGACTGACGAGTATAACAATGACTTCTTTTTAGAGATCCACTGGCATTATGGAAGATTAGATAAAGGAGCTGATAGTTAAAAAATAGATAATGTAAAGGGAATTAGCTGAAAATTTCAGTCAAATTACTTCACTCTGAGCCAAAAAATTATCATTTCAATAACACAGTAGCTTCGATTGTCATTGTTACCATTGTTATGATAATAAACAAAGTCTTGATTATCCATTTTTATGGGTAATCATCAACCACCGTTGAACCGCAGATCGGATTCAAATCTGTTTAAAATCGGACCTATCAGATGGCATTGATGGTTGATTATGGTTTTGTCATGTTAAAAAATGTCTAATTAATAGTTTATATAACATTTAGGGCCTAAAGAGAGACCTGCGATAGGCAGATTTAGCTCTTGCATAATGCATGTTTAAGTTTGTTGGTGACCTATGTTGACAATATTAATACTGGATAAATTAATCAATTTATATAAATTATTATTTACTTATTTAGTAAATATTTTGTTACTGGTGACTCAGTATGTTTACTTCATACTGGGTATTAAAACTTTTTGATAATGCTTTTTAATATATTTGAATCTGGATTTTGCAATAAATTTAAAAGTGATACACATCTTCTAGTAGTCTTGAGAAAGTGATCATCACACTATTTCTTTACTTATAATGTTTACAAAATTACAAATTTATTTTTGCCATATTTAGACTTTACAAATCTGCCATACTAAACTTACGCTGTCTGTCTACAATTACCTCCTCTTGAGAACAGAGTTTGAGATAGTTGACCAACATTTTAAGTCCTAAATAGACAATTTTAGTTGAAAACACTAAATATACTTCGAGAATTTTGAGAAGTATTTGTTCTGCTTCCATTAAATATGGAATTGAAAAGGTTTATTTAGTCTTCGTGTATATGACAGATTTGAAACGGTGTACAACCATATTACAAAACAATATACTTACTTTTTGATATGGCGGCCATTCAGGACAGAGATCTATTCTCGAAGTACAGTAGATAGTTCTCTGTGTGCAAAATGCAAATCTGCTACTGTTACGCCTGGGTCAAACTTATTATATTTGATGTACAAGATCAATTTTATAAGTAAAATAAAGGTTGATCAGAAGTGACGTGCGAGTAGATGATACCATCTTTAATCAATGGAACCCCATGCTTGTACATCACTGGATAGCATTGCCTGTCTGGTGTTTGGTGAGGTTGATCTGTTACAGATTTAAAGAATCCTAAAGTAATACAAAGAAAGGAAAGAAGTTATTGTTACTGACAGAAGTAGAGATCAGTAACACCATGTTAAATTTCTGGACATATGAATACCGGTAATCAGGGTAATTTCCTTGAAACTGAATTGGTATAACAGTTCTGCAATCACTGTTGTATCAAAGAAGTAAATACTTACTGCCTGAACCATCGTAAATTTTAAACAGATTTCTTTGATTATGAACAAACTGCTTAACTTTGGTTATTATAAACTTACCAGTGTGTTAGAATTCAACTCCCGTTAAATAAAATCCATTGCACAACTAAATATTCCAACAAGTAAAAAAAATTCTCTCTTGAAAAATTGAAATCCCACAAACTTTAAATTTGAGCAATACCAAAATTGAAACTGATTATGTCACTCTTCGGGAGATATCATTTAGTACATAGGGGTGACAGCATACTACATTGAAATAGTTTTTGGTACTTTTACGACAATTTCAAGTTTAGCATAAGAATAAGCTATTAGAAGTCTCGGCTCGGTATTGAGTTTGAGCGTTCACACACATTACTGTCCGTATTCCTTTACTTTGTTACCCTCTTTTACATTCTAGTAAAATCTCCACAAAGTCTATAGCTTTCTTGTTTGAAATATTTTGTTTTAATTATTTGATTAGAGACTCGGATGGGAGAATTTTCACATGCGGCACCAAAACGATGACAAATCTTTGCAGGTGGGTTTAAGAAATTATAATATCTTTTTCTTTAAGTACAGAACATAGTTGTCTGGTTGAAAACTGGATAAAATTCAGAAAATGAAACCATAAAAAGTGTTGAATCATTTGAGTTTGTATTTTATTTCTATAAAGCCCTCTTTCAATTCAAACTTTCAAAAATATAATTATCTATTATTACATAAGATTTTCGATTGGATTTTGAAACGGTTATTATTGGATAGAAAGAATGCTATCAAATTGACAATACAGTTGGAAACGCTGGATGTGAACTTCATCTTGCTTGTTAAATTATTTATAATATAAAGAAGATACGGAAGTTTGAGTTTATATATGACTTTATTTTTACGAATATCTGTGCAGTGGTTTTAATACAAACCATAATTTGATATTTTTCATTGCCCAAACTCAGATAATCGAATTGGTCGCACTTTGTTTTGATTGCAACACGTGGATCTGTCAAAGTAAAACCACCCCAACAACAACTTCATTGGTTTCGACCAATACTTGACGAAAGTCATGTTGTCTTCCACTCGGCCGAAATTACAAGTAAATAGTCAAATTTTTCAAGCGAGAACTTTCTATTCGTTGGAATATTTAATTGTGCAATGGGTTTTATTTGACGGGAGTTGATTTGAAACACACAGGTAAGTTTATAATAACCACAGTTAAGTAGTTTGTTCATAATTAAAGAAATCTATTTAAAATTTAAGACGTTCAGACAGTAGCTGCTGCGGGTGTATGTTTCATTGCCTGGCTTTGGTAAGTGATCGTCATACCACATCATTCGTACACTTGCATGTTGGAATTTCCTTTAAATTACCCCATTATTATGCAAATCTCCTGATCATTTTTGAATAGCTCAATAGTTTTGACAAGTGTTTGGACTATTTCTTTACATCTTGGCATTTAATTTGTATACTTAAAACCACTTCTATCAGTGGGTAAACTAAAGTATGGTACTGTTCCTTTAAGAATAAACTTTCTAAAGCAATATCTTTTAATATCCATTTATTTCATATTTCAATGATACATAGAGGACAAACAACACTTAACAAAATATACAGTGAGGACCTAAATTACAACTGCACAATATAAAAGGATTCAATTAATAAATACATTTCTGAAAAGGGCTGACAGCAAATGTACAGGCAGAACAAATGAAGACAACATAAAAGTTTGATAATCTCAATTTACATGGTAAATATAACAATATAAAATACATGAAAGTCGAGGAACTATCTGTTTCCCTGTATATCATATCATAAAGTTAGAGTGTTTACAAGAATTGTGGTCAAACATAGTTGATTTCATTAAGAATTACTTCGCAATTTATATTGTGTGTTTCTAAAGCTTCTGTTTGCTCTTGTTTTTTAATCTATTGCGCACTGCACACCCTAAACCCCAGATAATGGTTAACAATAATATACTTTTTAAGTGAACAGAAAACAGTTTCTCTAGAAAAATTTACATTTTGTAATTGGACATATCACAGACAAGATGAGATTTAGCCATGAAAAGGATTTCATTTTTCGTTTGGGTCAGTTATGAATTAGTGGCTTTAATAGGTAACACTGATAATCTAACATACTTTTTACAGTGTGTAATCACAAACAAAAACATGTAAGAGAAAAATCAAGAATAAAGCAACTGACCAAATTACTTGCTGCACACTTCTAATTTTACAACTAAAACTAACATAGTGTTGCCAGACAACAAATATACGCCAACTACCAGCTTTTTGAACAGTGGTTTCAAATTACCGGTAATAGGGTCTGGCAAAAACTAGGCAATTTCTTGATGATCCAGTCTGAATTTCAATAGGGTTCTTCCTTAATTATGACATGGCAGTAACTCTGTGAAAATCATTCATTGCCTGGCTGGATTGAATTTCGATAGGATTCCTCCTTAGCTCTATGGAATAATCCCAGCATGTTTGAAAAAAAATCTCATTAACTCTTCCCTGTGTGACGCAATCCATTCAAGTGGGCCAAAAAAATGTTACCCATTCTGAGAAGGGGTGCATGTATTGAGTATGTTATTAATTATTGAAACGTGTTCAGAAATAGTGACAAAATAGGAGACTATTACTATCCAATAAAAACATGCTTCTGTGACATTTTTCTGAAAAAAATATTAAAGTATTCACATCTAAAAAAAGTAGTGCACAATCAGAATGGGTAATAGTTTTTGGGGCCCACCCTGGTATGAATGACTAGCAAAATTTAATCCTTAGGACTAGCTCATCACATCAACATTCATTAATAATAACCTGATTAATGAATGTTTAAATTGAAAAAAAAATATCTTTGTCATTTTAAATATTAAAGATTATATAAGACAGCACCATTGCAAATTCTTATACATCATGATACCAATTAAGCACACACAATAATTTAAAACTTCAATTTATTACATTTTGTTCTTTAACTATATTTATTTCCTTTACAAAAGGACTAAAACTAAATCCTTGATCATTCTAACAAATTAACTCACTAGTAAAAAGTTAATTTCAGTTCTCTGGGGATTCAGTCACCATACCAAAACTGAGATTGCATTACTTGATCAATGTGAATAATAATATATAAATATAGTCACAGAGTGAAAATATCTTTTATAAAGTTTTCACTTGTATTTTTTTCCATAACAGATGAGCATTATCACTAGCATCTTGCATCTAAATATCATATGGAAGACATGATGTTATCTTCTATATGTCATGTTACTAATTTCAGGAACATTAGTGTTGATTTATAATTTAGGAACCAGCCTCCTGTTCCTGTCCTAGGCCTTCTAAAATTATACCCATAGGTGTTCTCTTTAAACCAACATACTCCATTTTGTTTGTTATTTTATTCTTCATACTTCTCATTCTTAACGATGCATGGATTAAAATTACTGAAATACAGGTAAGTAAGTTTTAATTAAAATAATAAAACTAAACACTTAAACTTTTAATTTTCATTCATTTCTGAGAACATTTGATCAAGGCACAACCAGAATCTAATAATGGTTGCTCCCACTGCAAACAAACTAATAAAACATCCTGGTGACATGTAGACCAACATAACAAAATAATTAACCTGAATGTCAGGATGGATATAATTATAAACTTTTAGCCACATGTATATAAACTTGATACTAGACAACATCAGATATATATTCTGGTAATGGTAAGCATATGCTGCCTATTGTCAAGTTATTTGGCATACACACTGTAGGCCACACTACAAAAGTAAAGATATGTTTTGTTTAACATCTTCGGTAAAGTGCAAAAACACCCTTAAATAATTTCTAGAAACTTACACAATAGAGGAAAAGCAATTCCAAACATAAATACTATCACAGCACCAAACATATAAACTAGTAAATAACCTCCAACCAGAATGACCACAACGCTTATTAATGGATGGTCCCGCTTAAACTTTCTTGCTTTCCACTGGTTATTTGTTGAATATACAAATCCACCAAATGCAACAGATATTGCAGCAAATCCAAGAACCATCTTTATTGGGTGAATTATTCTGAAAAATAAACTTTATATTTACTATGCTTAAAGAGGCATTATCACTTACAACAAGTAAATTTTACATAATATTGTTTAATCCTTGACCTAATTATTAAAGCAAGACCTATAATTTAGAAAGGCTTTTAGAATGCAAGCAACTCTTCTAAATGCCTTGAAAACCTCTATAATGTATATTATAAACATATACGTGAGCTGATCTAGAGGGGCTTATTTACAAAACAAGTATTTTTCTTGAACAATCTGACTTTTCGGGCAGACAGGTAAAGTGAAAAAATAAGTGCCCGAAATCTAATAAAACACTAATTTTACTTTTCTTTTACCGGTGATCGAGTACCAGAAAATTGTACTGAATTGACTAAGATTTGAAACATTATGGTTTGGAGCCACTCTACATTGTGTAACATTTTTCGGGCATCAATTATTATTTGTGAATGCAGTTGCAACAGTCTGATTGGATGGTTGGAATTCAGATCGGCATAGAGTGGGATTTCAGTTACCAAACCATTGGACAACTTTGAAGCTGCTTAACTCACGGGATGTAATAGTAGAAAAACGCATTTGTGGCGGTTAAATTTTCAAAAAATTTTCCGAGAGGGCGAGACCCCTATAGCCTACCCTGCGACAATTGATTGGCTGTTTGGGAATCAGGTCAACCACTTAAGGTAGGCTATATTAGACCACATTAGAGTTACTGTATTCACGGGCTGGAATAGCACGAAAACACGTTTATGGCAGTTAAATTTTCTCCCTACGGTCTGTGGACTGTAAACGATTGATTTGTTGACTGGAATTTGAGTCAGCCACCTAAATTTGAAGTTGTTGTATTCATGGACTGAAATCGCAGGAAAACGTGTTTGCGGCCATCAAATTTTCCCGAATTTGGGATCTTGCAAAAGATTGACGCTGCCCTCTGTAACCAAACATTTTTGGGGGCATTTCGGGTTCTGTCCTAAGAGTCATCGACCATGTATGCCCATCAGTGTTTAGAATTCGGCAAGAAAAGTTGTAAGCCAACAGGACCCGCTGGTAGACGCCATTCATGAAAGTTGTAGGTCCTAACATTAACTTGTGAGCCCAATAAATATTAACAAAACACACGTACACTACCCCACCCCAAATTCCTTGAACTTCTAAGTTCCGTAGGGGTCTTCTACAGCCATTTGGGACAGGTTTAAAAGTTAAAATATGTATTCAATATTGATTGACTGTTCACATGACAATTTTAACTTTTGGAAAATTCAATATTTATAGAGCAGAGCCTGCTCTAAGACTTCGTTACTAAAGTAACTAAGACAAAATAGAAACTGGAACATATCCTGTGTCAATCTGTTTCACAGAGAATTACGAGTCTCGTATTATATCTCTGTCATAGATGACTGCCTTAACACGTGCTGTCACAGCACGCGGTGTGAATCATTGGCTGAATGGCGCATGCATTGTTTACATAAGACATAACTGCTTCGGAGAGAATGCTGCATTTTAGTCATTTTAATACCCATTTACACTAAATCGGAAATAATTTTTACCTACAAATACGTCAAACGCCTTTATTTATTTTTCCAATATATACAAAAAATGTTTTAGAATTTAATTTGTGGCAGGAAAAAAGTTAATATTACTAGCTCATTAAGCCGCATCAATGTCATCCTTATCAGTGATTGTCGCGGCCAAGCGAATATTCACTGCGGATCAGTGTCATCCTGTGTCTGTCAGATTTGGTAAAATGTAACTCAACACCAAGTCTACGTACCCAATTACAAGAAATAATACCAATGCTGTTAAAAAGTAATTAGTTTGGTAGTACAACAAATTATTGAGCACCCTGTTAGACCATTTTTCCGGATCCTTAATATTTGGGATCTGAAATCGGGCTGAGCCAAATAAAAAATCTTCAATTCCACGAAGAGGTGCCAACTCTACATCAGCCATGTTGTCTGTTTTAAGACCCTTTACAACATTTTTGTTCATCATATTCTTCTATAATACATCAGAAGTATGAATCTTTACCTACTTTACATAATTAACATATGAATCATAACGTGCACGACAGAATGTAAAATCTTTCCTTGTTTTTATTCTTGGTCTTTCCCATAGATTTTTATTTATTTTTAAGGGCGCAAGGAACGGAAGTAGAAATCTCTTTTATCTAGAGTCCAGAAGGGTACATTGTAATTTTACTCTTGATTATTCAGTTACAATGTACTTGCCATTGACATGGGAGAATTTTGAGACTTGATGCACGAGCTTCAAAACTATACTAAATTTTATCTCCCGGTGTTTTCCAATTAGGGAAAACTTACATCAGGTAGTTTTAATTGAACAGTAATTGAATCTTATTATACAGAAGCTGGAATGATACCTGGTCGACTTGGCCTTACGCCAAAATTCTTTGTGCAGAAAACAGCAATACTATCTCTATCGTGGTGTTGTCAGTCGACTCGATGAAGCCCAAACTCAATCCCCAATGGCAAGAACTTGAAGAATAAATAATTAGACAGGATGGGCCTATCATAAGAAATAATAAATTTAAGATACATTTTATGTTGCTATACGTACAATACATGTAGGCCTATAAACTTATATGTTTGAAAACATATCAAACTCAAATGAAAGCCTGAAGAAGGCTGATATTTATTAATTTTACAGAATATAATCAATACTAATTACTGACTGTTCTCTGAAATTTTGCATTAAGCAACAAAATTGGCCATGTTTTTGATCTGGAGACATAACATATTCATATTTTCTATAAATCTGATTGTGTTTTCTGCTTCCAATCGTATTTGTATGAATCCAGATATTATTCTGCTGAATTCGAATCTGCCCCCCAATAGGTCTATAGCCATAGGATGTAATTAATGTTTATCGCAAAGATTGATATAACATTGCCTACAACTTTGTTTAGTTTTGTCAAGATCGAGACTCCTAGCTGCTTCGAGACACCTGATAAAGTAAATTCAAGGTAGACATCAATTATTTAAGATGATTAATTAAGTCTGACATACCTCAAACATATTTGATTTTCTCAACATTTTTAGTTCTTTATGTTTTGTTTAATAATTTTATTCCTGATATTTAACTACAAGATCACACACTTGGCTTTAAAATCAATCATACATGTATGTCTAATTCTCTCAACAGTTTTAGCTCATCCATGTTTATTTGACAATTTTGTTTCTGATATTCAGTCAGAAATCTAAACTTTTTATACAAGATTGAAATGTTGAAAGTTTTTCTTTTAAATAGAACAAAAATCCCCTATATACATGTTGATTGCCTCCAAAGCAATTGTGCCGCTTTATTAGAACAATAAGAAGGGATTTTCAAATAATTTATGCAAATTATATATCTACAGTAGAATCTGTATGAGCAGCCACTCCTATTAAGCGACATCTCCTTGTAAGCGGTCACGATAAATTCCCCCGTAAAGATTCTGTTGTTTCATCTCTTTATTCAATGGTCACTCCTCTAACGTGCCCAGCGGTCACTATTTTACTAATAAATTCAACAAAACATCGCCCATTCAACGGCCATTGTTGAATGATACCATCTTGTCATTCTTTGTAACACCCCTGCTAATCCCATGAGTAGTAGTTAATTAACTGGACTCCCACTGATCAGGTAAAAAGAAATGTAAAAATAACAATCAACCTGGGATTATCTGTTAATTAATCTTTTGTTTTATTAAACGACTAACCTGATCATTATTTTCACGCTTAATGACACATTATTTGATACTGATTGAATAAAATAAAAGTACCGAGTTTTGTCACGATCATCTAGTATCTCTTTTCCATTGCCACTTTGCTGTTAAACAGACGTTTAATATTACATACAGAGTTACACCCCCTGTAAATAGGTGATAAAATCAGCGATGGTTTTTTGTTCATGTGCTTTTTTGATAAAATAAAATTAATTCATCGATTTTCTTCACAAAAAATGGATAAATATTATCGAATGCATCACAATGGTAGACAGTAGTATCGAAGGTTGGTACAAAATGACAAGTTTACAGAAGTTATGTCCGAGATTTGAGTTAAGAATTTTCGTTCGGCGCAAGATTCAGTGACGGTCAAATTTACCGATGCAAGTATTGATGTTCGCTTCCAATGCATCCAAGCGTAATATTTAATTTATGTCAGCACAAAAAGCACCAAGATTTTATTAAGAGGCCACTCCCGTGAAGCGGTCAGTTGTGAAAATTCCCTTGGGTGGCTGCTTAATGCAGATTCTACTGTAGATGTATTTGCTTTTGGTTATGTGTATTTCGGTTATGTATATGTATGCATGTAAGTGTGCACATGTTTGAAAATGACTTTACCTTTGATAATACATTATAGGTCTATCTTAAAATTCTGACCTGATTTTTACTGTTTTATTTGAATTACAGGAGTAATATTTAACAATATGGCAGTTACTTGGTCTGGAAGATGGAATCATGTGAGAAAAGTAACAGAGAGAACTGGACCTTTTGCTCATCCAGATTTTGAGCCAAGCACTGAGGTAAAATATATTTTTTTTAAGGAAAATCTGGTTGTTTGTAACAATATTCTCAGTAATCAGTACATAATTTATCAGAATTATTAATCATATTTTGATATTCAAAATTGTAGTGATTAAATTGATTAAATCTCTGTGTATTTTTTACCTTTAGACATTACAGTTTTTACAAGAAGTTTGTCATATTCTAGTAATTGGTGCTGGAGGATTAGGATGTGAATTATTAAAGGATTTGGTAAGTTAATTGAACACTATACATTTGCATCAATAGAAAAAAGGAGTATAGTCAGATTGATGCTGGTAACATTTATTGATATCACAGTTGACAAAGTAATTACCGGTACTTGTTCTACTTCGATGCATTACATAAAAATTTAAAGAAAAAAATTTTTTTTGAGTTCTTTTGGAATTCAGTTTACAGGGCTAGTAATTCGTCATTTTTGCGAGAATCTAATATGCAATCTGCACGAATCCCCCGAAATTTGCCTTTGTATGAGGACTCTATTCTTTTATAGTGCTTTCGGCACACCTTGCACACAGTGTGAATTACATGTTTTTTTTCAGAACCAAACGTAAACTTGTAGTTTTCATTTAGTTCCTTACTCCATTTCATAACAGTTTCTTTAGATAGAGCTTTTGCTTCCAGAAGCCATGTCATTGTCCAAAAAATTCAATTGATAACTGCACAAAGTATTATAATAAAGGAATATAGTTTATGTCCGCATAAACAAAAGTGAAAAAAAAAACAACTGGTCGACCTTGATAGTGACAGAACAGAATTGGAATGACCCAATTTAACCCCATTATATTGATGAGGAACTAGAGTAGAATCAAATCGCTCGAAAGGATAAAATGGAACCCAAATTATTTTGTTTCAGGATTGGCCTGATAAAGCAGTTTCTTTTAAATATTATTTAAGAAGGATTAAAAAAACAATTACGCAAATCCTTGTAGATTCGCAGTGTAAGCTCTTGCGAGAATCCTTGCACGAATTAGATTCAGAGATTCACATGAATTTCTAGCCCTGGTCTAATCTACATGAATTGAATTTAAAACTTATGTGAGCTAAATTACTTCATTATTTACTATTAAAGATTTCTTCTTATCCAACTTATTTCTCTTTTATTATGTACATGTATTTTACAGTTAATTCCAAATTTGGGATTTTGTATAATGATATCAATATTAAAAGGGAAAACCCCTTAGTAAGATGGAAATTTCATATAAATGTCCAAGGAAATTTTTCAGTCTCACAATGACTTTGCAATGACTTTGAGTTATCTCCCTTTTTATTGAGATAGTTTAGTCCGGCGTTTCCCAACCTCTGGGTCGCGACCCAACTTGGGTCGCAAGCACTTTTCGTGGGGTCGCGGACTAGACTGAGAACTTTAGAAAAAAATGCCATCTTTTCATGTAATATATCTATAATCTATACATCTTCAGTAGAAGGGTTGATCTCGCTTTAACTCCGTACATCTTATCAAGGCCTTCACGTAACACTCTACAATCTACATTTTTCGTCACTAATTTCGATTGGTCTACGACCCAGCTCTAGACCTCTCAGATTCCTCGATAGAAAATACCATCGCGAATACCAAGTCTCGCGCTTTCCAACTGAAATATCTACCTGTGATAATCGAATTGCAAAGTTCAAGGTTCGTTCATGGTTGCTGGAAATTTCCAACACAAAGAGACTTGCCGCTGCCAATTTTCATGCAAATAAATACTTCTCTAGTCTCTAAAACAGTTTCGATTGCTTTTCCGTGCAAGTTTTTCAACTGAAAATAAAACCAACCCTTTAACGGCTGTAAACTTACTTATTCATTGTTCACGTGTCTGCAGTAAAGGGAAATAACGTACCTAAAAGTTAAGGAATTTCAGACAATTCTGGCAACGGATAGAAGTTGTAAAACAGCGGCCGTTGATTCAGGAACATGTGATCTATACAGCTCTTGCCACATTGCTAATTGATTTCCTCTCATGGCCACGATTTGTTTCATCGGTCTATCATTGTTTCTCACTCTGACGGGATTCCCCGTAGCACTTTCACTTTGTGCAATACAGCTCCTCATGCCGTACCCGTCGTCACACCTATGCGAACAGTCGTTTTTTACAATGGTTGTGATAAAAACAAAATTTAGGAACCGGCTTGAAATAGAAAGGGACATGATTGTCGGACTGAGTGGCGTTGATCTACGCATTGAAAACCTGGTTGCTGAAAAACAGGCGCAACCATCAAACTGATTAAAAAAATCAATAATTTGTTATCAGACTTTTAATAAGCAAACAATAATAAAAGTGAATGATAATGATGTTTTATAGTAAAATGTGACTTTGTTATCAGACTTTTAATAAGCAAACAATAATAAAAGTGAATGATAATGATGTTTCATAGTAAAATGTGACTTTGTTCTTCGAGGGGTCGCGATCTGATCCTGGGTCTGGAATGGGGTCGCCACCCAAAAAAGGTTGGGAACCTATGGTTTAGTCTGAGAATAAGAATAAGTAATCTTTCTTCATGTATACATGTATGTATTTATGATATTATAATTTACAGGCATTATTAGGAATACGTAATATAGATGTTATAGACATGGACACTATTGATGTATCTAATTTAAACAGACAATTTCTCTTCAGGTATGTAAGTCTAGGAAAAGTTCTTTGATGTTGAATCCAAGAATGACCAAGACAATATATAATTCATAAATATATTTTGAATAATAAAGATATTTAATGTTAGATATGAGTGTGACTCACATTATTTATTGTGACTTTGTGGGAATTGATTATAGGAGTTTACACTGATCTTAATATATAAAGGAATGGTATTGCTGAGAATTTAACAATAAAAATTGATTGTATCATACAATGTATGTGTATAGAAAAAATAAACGAAGATAAGGAAGATATTGAAATAATGTATTAATGGCTTGTCCTAGGTATCATCTTACAAACATGTAAACTTATATGACGGATAATTGATTTATAATGTAATTTTATAAAATATATTGATTTTACAGACCAAAAGATGTTGGAAAAACAAAAGCTGAAACAGCTGCTAATTTTATAAACCAGAGAATACCTGGATGTAATGTAACAGCGTATCCTTTATAATAAGGTGGTTAACTAATATATAGACATATATTTGTTGTGTCTGTAACAAGTTCAACTAGAACTCTGAAGGCATACTGACGTGTTTCGGTAGGTCAGTTCATGCCTTCTCATTTCAAGAATAAAGTTACACCATGAACTGTATAGTAACATCCAAAATCTTTTAAAGTGGAAAAAACGAAACTTATACTTCAAGACCAAACTTGTTTGATATTAGTTGTTAGTAGACGTCAAGGTCATCATATATGCAAAGGTCAAGGGTCATTGAACAGTTATGCCAAAAGTCGAACAAATTTCAAAGTTAAACCGGAAGTAAACAAAATCAAAATTCAAAATTCAGCTCCCTAAGAATTGTCGTTCAAATCAAAAAAAGAATTTTTGAAAATCGGAATCAAAATGGCAGCTGAATGTCGATTTGAAGGTTTTTTGTAAAATCCAATATGGCAGCCAAATGGTTGAGAATGTTATCGAACAAGGTCTCTGAAAATGAAAGATAATATATTGGGCTAACACCACTATCATATGTCGGTAATTTCCGGAAGCCGGCACCAAAAAATTATAACATGCCATTTCGAAGGCATCAATGTGTTCCGTTTCAACTTGATACCTCAAATACGAACGGAGATAGGCCATCTTGAATATCGAAAAAACGATGAAGAAAACTTTCGCAAATCTTTGATGATAATTCGAATGGAACAAACTTCCAAATTTCAAAAAAATCGTCAGTCAGAGCCCCTATGGGATTCATCCAAAGAATCCAAAAATGAAAACCTGACGAAGATCCGTTGATAAATAACCTAGATATGGGCAATCTGAGATTATTTTTTGCCCCATCCGTAAAACACTGCCTGTTTGTCAAAAATGATCCAATTTATATTTAATGAATAGTTCCACGGAGGCCAACCACATATACGTTGGTGGAATCTTTGCACTATATACTCTGACTAAATCTCCCCCCTAGAAATCCCCCCCCCCAAAAAAAAAAACCCCAAAAACACTTACTATAACAATACAGGTTTCGATAAAACGTCCGATACTTGTAATTAAGATAAATTGTGAGAACTGTTTCGTAGACAATTACTAAATTCATTCCCAGTCACTAAAAATATTAACTCAATCACAAATAGATATGGTTAAGTAATCTACTTCAGCTTAGACTCATTTAATGAAGATCGGCATTCAGTGGGCTATGAGGGAAATTCCATCTGTCAAGTGCTCTTTTTACATGAACACCAATGTGTACATGGGACTTCTTTTTTTTTTTCGTCCGTCCAAATGATTAGACACAGTTCTTGTCAGGCCTTCTGTACTGCATCACTGACAAGGGAAAACCACATTGGAAAAACCTGAAAAACTGTATTGGCCAGCACCAGTAGCAAACCAGAGACCTCCTGGTTAGCGAGCTGCTTAGGACTTAAAAAAGTATTCTAAGTAAATATGTATTTCTTTAACACTGAAAGTCATTTTGCAAAAATTCAAGATTTTGATGCTTCCTTTTATAGAAGTAAGTAAATTTTCATATTATTTATAGATTATATTTAATTTCACAAACAAATTGATTACATACAAACAGAATTTGAAGATGCATTATGTAAGAGCTAGATCTGCCTGTTGCAGGTCTTTCTTTTGGCTTTAACTGTTATATAAATTATTATGTAGACATTTATTCACACGATAAGCCTATAATCAACTCTCTAGAGCATTGGATGACTTAGATTTAAATACAGATTAGATTACAATCTTCGTCGTTTAAGGGTTCACAAGGTTCTACAAACTGAAACAAGGGCCTTAACTCTGGAAGAAATTTACAGAAATTATTGAAATTTGACCGACTTTTTCATTTTACTTATTTAAATACATGTAGTGCATATAAATTTCACAAAGATCATGCTGTAGGAGCAATATTCTTCACTTCACAGCTTACAGTTGTCATGGGCATCAGCTATTAGTTGTTGAATTCTAATAGATTTGTTTGTTTTTACAGAATTTCATATAATAGTATGTGGATTAGATTCAATAATTGCTCGACGGTGGATAAATGGAATGCTAGTAAGTAGTGATTTATTTTTCAGTTTTAATTATTTTTCAAATAACAGCTGTTATGTCCTTTCAGAAATATTTATGCCATACTAGTAAAGTTTGGATTGGTTACAGACAGTGTCCGAAACAAACATTTTCCAAGCACAGGCCTGCAGGACCTGTGTGACACGTGATCATGTGTGTCCTTCAGGTGACGCGCAGGCCCAACCAATAATAATAATATTTATAGTTTCCAAGCGAAGCGCAGAACGATCAGAATCAAGGAAGTACATATAAAGCCAGTACACCACAGAAGGACTGAGGGTTTAGTAACTTAATTTCATTTCAATTTAATGGAAACAAATCTATCACGGCTACATAATTTACGGTTTTTCTCATCAAACTAGGTCAACTTCAAACAGTTACACAGAAAAACTTGACGCCTGGCGATAACGTTGAGGAATGGCATAAACTCGCTTATCCCGCCCTAGATTGTTAGCACAATAGCCCAGAATTGAGTCAAATGAGGTCCCGTAGGAAATGGTTTTAAAATTATAAGCTTCCATTACCTTAAATAATAGGTAGGCCTACAGCTACACCGTTTGGAAAATTTTCGTGTCAGTAATATTCCTGAATAAATTACTGTCTTCGTTTTTGGATGGATATAAAATGATACAGCACGGTGGTATTTTTCATAACACAATTTGTAGTTTTTGTCTATCATGTATTTTGCAAATATGTTTTTATTCATTCGTCCATGAAAGACACACGGCACAGTGATCACGTGACAGCCATAATTGAAATTACTTTAAAATAAAATTCCGTACGACAATGCCATATAGTTTTCAATAATAATAACGACAATATGTTTATCATGTGTATCAAATAAAAAATCATAATGGTAAACGTTACTTAAAACTAAACCTAGCATCGCTGGCTTATTGCCCTAGAAATTCCAACTGATGTCACGTGTCATCAGCGGATTTGGCATCGAAGATTTTGTCGGAAAAATATAATATTAATGACTGTTCTGAGGATTATATTCAACTAAGTTTTAAATTTCTGTAACAAATGGTCAGCCAAACCATTAAATGCATGATCCAATTATTATTTTATTATCTACCGGTACCTGGAATCTATACGGAGCGTCGAAGAAGCGCGATTCCCGAGCGAGATTCGCAATCCATACCGAGAGGTATGACTGTTCTTGTAGCCAACAAGCAAGTTGATTGACTACTTAATCAAAAAGTAATAATTAACCTGTTAAATTTAGCCGAAAGTAGATTGATTTATGATACCATAGTGGCCGTTTCTTTGTTTTTACCAATCGGTTTGTTTAAAGTTCAAGCGGCTAAAGCCGACAAAAAAACCCAGTTACAAATCAAAGGCTGGTTACGCGAGTCAATGTTTGGAAAAACAGCAGCTTCCGTCATGTCGATGACAAGTAAACAATAACCGTCAACTATCGGAGACTCGGAGGTTGCGTTTCTATGACAGTTCTAGCATTTCCCGAATTGTCGTAGTGGACACTAACTATGCGAGATAAGAAAGAAGGCGAAGGCCCGGCGGACCCGAGTGAAATAGGCAAGCAGGAGTCCTCCGATAAATCAGTCGGCCTCGGGCCTACGGACCGACGTTTGTGTCGAACACTGGTTACAGATAGATATTGCTAAAGGCAGTGTTGGTATCTATATATGACATCAGAAGGAATTCCCTCTAAGACACAATTATCCAGGTCTACCATCTATCATGACAGGAACATCGCCGAATTTCTTCTTTTGATGGTCGAAGACTACCATTTTTGAATGTATCAAATGATTTTGAGATGGGTGGAGTATTGCACTGAATTAAATATTTTCTTTTTAAATCTGACTTGTTGTATTTTTAAACTTGTTGTGGATGTATTCATAGAATAATGAAAAATCACAAAATTTTGTTTGAAGGTTAATAATAAACAAAGATTTTAAAATAGTTTGCCTTCAGCATCCTTTATTATCATGACAAAAAAAATGTCATATCTTATGAACAAAACTGACAGTGCTAGCTTAACAATGTGCATTTTAGACTGCTCAATACCCTTAATCTTTGCAAAAGGAATCATATTACTCATTTGACCATTACATACATGTAGCTTTCTTTGTCAAGATACTGTGTTGAACTTTCTGGAATTTAACTTTCTTGATCCCATGAACAGTGTGACAGACGAGGAAACAGAGCATATCACAAGATATTACCGGTACCAACTGAATAAGGAATTACACATAAAACTTACAGACACTTTAATCAAGAATTTGAGTATATGGTATACAGCAAATGCACTTCAGGAGACTGATGGAATATGGTTCTGTGTCATTTGAAATTCTTTTACGGCAATTTGGAAGAATCTTGATTCATAATAAGACGTTTATAGGCTATTTATTATAAGTACAGAAGTTCATATTTTATTTTTATTGTTAGTAGACACACACAATCTGGCAAATAAAGACTAGTAAAGAGATGTATATTTCGTAGATAAGTATGTTAACAGTAGTTATGTATATTTTGTAGATAAGTATGTGAGTAGTAATATGTATGTATATTTTGTAGATAAGTATGTTAAACTACGAAGATGGTGAATTAGATCAGTCCAGTATAATACCTATGGTTGATGGAGGTACAGAAGGTTTTAAAGGCAATGCTAGAGTTATCTTACCTGGTATGACAGCTTGTGTTGATTGCACATTAGATCTTTATCCTCCACAGGTAATACCATTTTTTAAAGACTGATCAGATTTTATATGGCTTTGTGTGTTAAGAGTGTTCAATTAAAAACAGTTAAACATGCATTATGCAGGAGTTACATGTAAATCTTCCTTTTGCAGGTCTTTCTTTAGGCCTGAAATGTTATCTAAATTGTTTTAATTAGACATTAATTAACTTATCCAGACCATAATCAACTCTCGATGCCATTGTTAGCCTGCGATAATTAGTGGATTTGAACACATTTTGTGATGGATAATTTAATATGAAAATGGATAGTCAAGACTTTGTTTATTATAAAACCAACGTTAGTAATGATGATCAAGGCTAGCCTAAAATTAAATCGCTAAAGTCTCGGGTCAGAGTGAAGCAATTTCACTAAAATTTTAAGCATATTCTATTTTCATTATCTATTTTTTCACTATAATAGAAAAAACTCAGCTCTTTATCTAATTTTACCTAATGCCCCTGTAATTAGTTGGGAATAGATTCAGGTGATTAATGTTCATTTTTTGTCATTCCATTGTCTGGATTCTAATCCAGATCAGGAGCCAGTGACTCACAATAATTTTCTTAAGGATTTTCAGCCTGGTTTTCCTTTTCTCAGTAGTGCAGAAAGGAGGGCCTGACAAGGAACATCATCTAGTTCTTCAGATTAGATAAAAACCAAGGTCCCTTAATAAAGGAAAAGTAGGACATTAACCTGGTTTCATTTCGAATCCAGATCACAGATAATTGTAACATACTGAACCCTTTGTGGTTAAAATGATTAGGATCATCAGAATGGGGAAATAATTATTACCTGTCTGACTCCACATGAATACAAAGTTATGCCTCTTGAGTCTTTGGGTCTAGAATTTATAAAGACTGGTTCTGTTTTATTTCATGTGAAAAAAAAAAGTTATAATGAGACAAGATTTTAAGTATTAACCAGTGCTAAAAGTTGAGGCTTGTCTTAGTTGGAGATATTGATATTTCCCATAAAATGTAATTGAAAGTAATTGAAATGTAATTGACCATTTGTTGAATTTTGAAATGTAATTAATTACATTTTTGTTATTCATTACTTATGAAATCTTCCACTACTCATTACGTGACCATTATTTAAAAATGTATAATGATTACATTACTCATAACATGACCATTATTTAAAAAGGAATAATAATTATTACATTCCATTACCCCAGCCCTAATACTAATTTTATAGTTTTTTGTAATGAATTAAATTATAAAGTGCTTATTTTAATATTTATCAGTTTTCCACTGTTAGTGACACTTTATTGTGTGAATCCTTTACTACAACAGTTGGCATGTTCATTTGGTGGGTAGGAATCCAAGATTTCTGGCTGAGAACTATCTTAGAAATGAGCTATTCAAAATCCATACAGACTGTGTGATTTACAATATATTATGCTTGTTGTAGAGTAACAATAGTGAATTAATAACTATCCTAATAAACTATCTACTGAAGACTAACATATTTAAATGGGGGAAAAAAATATGAATCTGATTTTATTGAGATTGAATTCCCTTTTAGTTTATTTTCTTTACTTTGTTTTTACATTATTTTTAGGATATCCTTTGAGTAAGTTTATTTTCTTTGTTTTGTCTTTAGCTTAATTTTAATTAGATTGAATGCCCTTTAAGGTTATTTTTTGTATTTCATTTTTAGGTTAATTTTCCTTTATGTACTATAGCCCATACACCCAGACTACCAGAACACTGTATAGAATATGTTCGTATATTGTTATGGCCTAAAGAAGAACCGTTTGGAGGTTAGATATATTGTATATATTTTTATACGCCCACATTGAAATGTGGTCGTATATTGTTGTCGCCCTCGTCCGTCCGTCTGGTGTCTACAATTGCTTGTGGACGCTCTATAGGCTAAAGTTAATATCCGATTGACCTTAAATTTTTACACAGTGTTTAAGGTCATGAGACGAAAAAGCCTATTGATTTTCAGCGATTTTCGATAATTACTGCCAGAGTTATGGCCCTTGATCACTTCAAAAAATCTTGTGGACGCTCTAGAGGTCAAAGTTAATATTCGATTGACTTTAAATTTATACACAGTGTTTAAGGTCATGAGACGAAGAATCCTATTGATTTTCAATAATTAATGCAAGAGTTATGGCCCTTGATCACTTCAAAAAATCTTGTGGATGCTCTAGAGGTCGAAGTTAATATCCGATTGAATTTAAATTTATACACAGTGTTTAAGGTCATGAGACGAAGAATCCTATTGAATTTCAGCGATTTCCGATAATTACTGCCAGAGTTATGGCCCTTGATCACTTTGAAAAATCTTGTGACGCTCTAGAGGCTAAAGTTATCATCCGATTGACTCCAGATTGATACACAGTGTTTAAGGTCTTGAGACAAACAAGTATATTGATTTTCAATGAATCTTTTTGACTTGAACAGCTAAATCCATGATGTTAAAAGTTTCGTATACTAAACGTTAGCATGGGGTGGAACTTTATAAAAACCAAACAAATTCTAATGGTTTTCTGATAATTACTTAATGAGTTGTTACTCTTAATCAGATTTATATCTTTATATCTAATCAATTTTACTATTTATTAAAACTTTTTGTGCATAAAACTACTATTGTTCCATATGGCGTTAACATATTTTTATTAAGACCATCAACTATCAGTTTATTGATCTGGATGTAACTTTGTTGACCTAAAGGGGGTGGGGGGTGTATGGCTGAATTTTTTAACACATAGTAAGTTCTGTCAAGAGGTGTGGATTCGATTCCTGGCTCGATGTGACAAATAGTAGGGGCTCGCCTTCCAACCTTGTGGGTTTTCTGCGGGTCCTTTGGTTTCCTCCCACTGCTAAAGACCCCTACGCGCAAGCGAATTATTGAAATAAAATTGAACCATATGTTAGTCCCGGAATGACCTAGTTTGTGTCGAATGGACGTTAAACCCCATCTCTCTCTCTCTTTCTCTCTCTCTCTCTTTCTCTGTGGGTTTTCTCGGGTCCTCTGGGTTTCCTCCCACAGCTAAAAGACCCTTATACCTAGTTTTTGTCAAGTGGATGCTCGCTCTCTCTCTCTCTCTCTCTCTCTTTTTACCTAAAATGAGATAATAAAGTGTGCCATGGTGGAAATTTTGCTATTGGTGGCATTCTTTGAATTCTAACTGCCAAGTGTTCTTTTATCTGAACACTAAAATGTACACAGGCCTGAAGGTTTTTTGTACCATTCGAATGACTAGATGCCCTTCCTTGCCAGGTCATCCATTCTGCACCATGGACAAGGTGAAACCATGCTGGAGTACTGAGGAACTTTCTTGGGCAACAGCTGGATAAAACGAGAGACCTTCTGATTATGGGATTGAAATAGGGAAGCAAAATATTTAAATATTCATTGTTGTTCACTAGACATATTATTATTTCATGTAGCTGGTGTAGCTATTGATGGAGATGATCCTGCTCACGTTAGCTGGATTCTAGAAAAATCGCAAGAAAGAGCGAATGAATATAATATTAGTGGTATAACTTATAGATTAACTCAAGGTGAGTCTAGTTTAGAAATAATGGCCAATAATCATTTTCCTCAGCGGAAATCGAACAGACATTATATAAGAGTTAAATCTGCCTATGGTAGGTTCTTCTTTGGACCTTCAATGTTATATAAATTATTAAGACGTTTATTAACACGACAAGACCATAATCAACCCTCGATGCCATCGGATGCCTCCGATTTTAAGTAGATTATAAGGGTTTGGCCATTTAATGATTTAATTTTCAAATGGAGAAGCGAGGCTAAGACTCAAATGGCCAGTATTGGAGTTACGTATTGTAGTTTCAATAACATAGATACAGTAGTACTCCTGTATTTTGAGTTATCTGTAGCCCAGAAGGAAACTAAATGAAAGAATGCTTACTATTTACAGGTGTTGTTAAAAGAATCATACCGGCTGTAGCATCAACAAATGCTGTTATTGCAGGTATATCATATATGTACAGTAGCAGTAGTCTTGTATAATCTTTGAATGGCATTTAGCGATTGAACATAATATAACACAACACAGTTCTATGCATACAATCACTATATTATATACACACAACGTTTCGACCAGATTTCACTGGTCGTTATCAAGCATAGGCCTACAAATTACAAATGAGAACAAAAATTGTGACGGTGTTACTGTTATATATAGTGAAATCTTGTCGAAACGTTGTGTGTATATAATTATAGTGATTGTTACACATAGAACTGTGTTGTGTTATAGTAGTCTTGTATTTTAGAAGAAACAATTGTTAAGCTATTTTCTTGTTAGCTGCATCTGTGAAAAAATTGACTATATGGGGCTTCCAATTTTTATTTTTGATATTCCAGTCGGTAGTACTTAAAAATAATCACAATTTTGTTTTCAATATATCCATAATTGAAATTATTACTTATTACCATTTGATTTTACAAATATGATGTACATGTATGTAAATATTTAACATTTTTGTTGATGTGTTATTTACAGCTGCCTGCGCTACAGAAGTATTTAAATTAGCTACAAGGTAAGTATATCATAGTTGGCTTTGGGACAGGAAAAACCTGTTTATTAGAGAAACAGTAAAAACCTAGCAAATAAATGGAATGACCAGCTGAAAATTAGTCAAAACTCTGAGATAAATCATGTACATAAAACGATTACATCTCTTTTAAATATGCCTTCCTATTTTAAAAAAAATCATGTACATAAAACGATTAGATCTCTTTTAAATAAGCCTTCCTATTTTACATTTGGACGAAAAACTAATTTATTTATCAAACGATTCCTTCAAATCCTTTTTAAAACTTTATTCCAAGAAGCCTAATCTATTCTAAGCAGCCTTTTTTATCATGTGACTTGATTAAGGGAGTATCCATTAGGCAGCTTGTATATGTCATTAACATTGTCCATTTCCCTTAAATATTGAAGCCAAAGTAGATTATCCTTCTTTTTCTGCTGTTTAGTCTGTTGTATTTTTAGTTAGTGATACCCTTACATTTTGGGCCTGTTGGTGCCCCATAGGTGTTTTTCAGGGAACCCAGTATTTTTTCTGGTAAGATTGAGTGTCTCTATTAAATTCCATATACTCGAAATACATTTACATGTATGTCATACTTTTATTGGAAATAACTATGTGATCAGTACTTTCGAGGGAATGCATTTTTACATACCCTTTAAACCATTATATTCTTCTATGTAATCCATCACAAGAATTGAAACTAATAGTATCCACACATTGTTTTTTAAAATTTAATATTTCAAATCTTCACATACTGTATACTAAATAAAATATATTATCCATTAACATCTGTTGACCTAATGAGTTAAATTTTCTGACTTATCCTTACTCGTACTTATACTCATTTGCCTCAATATCATTTTATCATTTGTATCTATTATTAGATTGGTTGTTGTTTTAATTTGTGTGATTGAGGTGTTGGGTGGATCATGAATCTTTAAACTGCAATCGATAATCAGAGATTGTAACAATTGGGGGCTTGTCCAGGATTCACCAAAAAAGCTAAAGAAGATCAAACAAATCTACACAACAATAATACATACTAATGATATTGGGACAAATGAGTACAAGTACCAGTATAACAGCGTTGATCAGAAGCAATGTACAGGATTACTCACAGTATTCTATCCAATTTTACTAGTTTTCGGTTGAAGTCTTTGCACCCCTGGCTTCTACTGCTTTGAAGTAGTAGTTTGTAGACAGTTCTTTACAGGTGGACTCTCAGCGTTGGCATAGTAATTCCAAAGTTGGCAGAATTACATAGTATCTTGATGATCCAAAAATGACAGGATGACTAATCCTTGAATCTATATAAACCGACGTGGCAATAATCCACAACAATAATACTAAACTTGGATTACAGCAGAGAGATAAGTCACTCAAAACAGCGCCATGTAAAACAGAGAGATAATTTCTCTCAAAATAGAACCCCCCAGAACCTTCCAGTTATTTCTAAACACTGTTTCCAGAAGTTTCCATGGTTTCTAGAAGTTTCCAAATGACGATTATAGAAATTGTGATCGCCTAAAATGGTAATAAACGATAAATTTCGATCAATTTTCATGACCTCATCACAAAACCTACTTAATCTTGTTATATGTATATAATGAATTAATATCAGATTTCTTGTGATCGGTTAATTGGTTCAGTTACATTTTCAAAATCCTGTAAATTTGGTCTGAAGTACTAATGGTGTATAATCAATTGGTAATGTTGGCATAGAATAGTTTTATAGCCATAAACCCAAGTAGTTTAGTTTATAAAGATATGTTCTATCAAACTTCATAGCAGTTAAAATAAAACACAAAATTAGGCTTAGCGGATCTTAAAAAAAAATTGATTGCCGACAGTGCTTAAAGAGAAATGACATAAAGACAAAGTGACAATCTTTTGAGGAATTTATTGGCGGTGAGATTTACTATTTTAAATAACAGAATTACAATAAGAAGGGTGGAATTTTTATCAAAATGATCCTGAAGCCCTAATTTTGTGGGCGAGAATACAGATGAACATAAAGGATTCGTGACTTTATACGTTAACGTTATGAATGTGGACATATATTGCCATCGCCCCTGTCTGTGTGTGTGGGTGTGTATGTGTGTGTGTCTGTGTGTCGCCTACAGACCGCAATTCTTAACTGATTGTCTTGAAACTTTACATACTTACTCCTTATACCCTAAGGATGTTCCCTATTGTTTTTGGTGCATGGCCGACCCCCAGGGACAGAGCCACACCCTTTTTTTGTATTTTTTTGTTTGTCGTCTACAGGTCACATTTCTTAATGGATCCACTTCAAACTTTGCATACTTATTCCTTATACCCTAAGGATCATTACTATTGTTTTTGGTACATGTCCAACCCCCAGGGGCAGAACCACGCTCATTTTCTTTTTAGGTGTCTTTATGTTGCCTACATGGCGCAATTCTTGACTAATTGTCTTGAAACTTTACATACTTATTCCTTATACCTTACGGATGATCCTTATTGTTTTTGGTGCTTTGCATCTACAGGTCGCATTTCTTAATGTTTTATCTTGAAACTTTGAATACTTATTCTTTGTAGCCTAAGGAACACCCACAATTCTTAATCCATCGTCTTGAAAAAATTTCGTATGAATTCCTTATACCCTAAGGATGATCCTTATTATTTTTGGTGCATGCCCGACCCCCCAGTGGCAGAGTCACGCCCATTTTTTGCATTTATTTCCTTGTCATCTACAGACCAAATTTCTTAACATATTACCTTGAAACTTTGCATACTTATTCCTTCTATCCTAAGGAACATCCCTGTAGTTTTTGGTGAATCCCCAACCCCCAGGGGCAGAGGCACGCCCATTTTGTTTTTGAGTGTCAGTATGTCACTTACAGCTTGCAATGCTTAATCAGTCGTCTTGAAAACTTTTTTATACTTATTCCTTATACCCTAGGGATGACCTCTATTATTTTTGGTGCATGCCCGATCCCCTGGGACAGAGCCACGCCCAATGTTTGTGTGTCTTGTGTTTTGCCTACAGGCCACAATTCTTAACAGATCCTTTTGAAACTTTGCATACCTATTCCTTATACCCTAAGGATGACAACTGTATGTCCCGACTCCCAGGGACAGAGCCACACCCAATATTTGTGTTTATCGTTTACGGACCGCAATTCTGAATGGATCACCTTGGTACTTGGCGTATGTATTCCTTATAGCCTAAGGGCGTCAACTGTTGATTTTGGTGAATACCCTGACCCCCAGGGGCGAAGGCCACAATACTGAATGGATTATCTTGGAACTTGGTATACTTATTCCTTATACCCTAAGGACGGCGACTATTGATGTTGTCATTTCAATAACAGGGTGGTGCCTATTTATATTGTTCCATATTCAACCCCCAGGGGCAGAGCCACCGTAAAGACAGCAACTATTTATTTTGGTGCATGTCCCGACCTCCTGGGGCAGTGTCATACCCACTTTTTTGTTAATATTTTGTCTGTAAATTTGGCAAAACAAACCCAACGCCTAACCTTCTTTGCCTCTTGTCATATTACAGCCATTTCATATTTCATTCTCTTCATTTTAAAAAGTACCATATCAATCAAAGCTGGAATGTGGACATATATTGCAGCGTTAGCGATGCTATTATTTGATATCTAATATCTACCTGGGATTCATGGCGATTATTAACGGGATATGGCCAGAACGAGCCAGCACCAACATCTTTTTATACGCCCACATTGAAATGTGGTCGTATATTGTTGTCGCCCCCGCCCGTGGATGCTCTATAGGCTAAAGTTAATATCCGATTGACTTTTAATTTATACACAGTGTTTAAGGTCATGAGACGAAGAAGCCTATTGATTTTCAGCAATTTCAGATAATTACTGCCAGAGTTATGGCCCTTGATCACTTTGAAAAATCTTGTGGACGCTCTAGAGGCTAAAGTTATCATCCGATTGACTTCAGATTGATACACAGAGTTTAAGGTCTTGAGACGAACAAGTATATTGATTATCAATGAATCTTTATGACTTGAACAGCTAAATCCATGATATTAAAAGTTTTGTATACTAAGCGTTAGCATGGTGCAGAACTTCATAAAAACCAAACAAATTCTAATGGTTTTCTGATAATTACTTAATGAGTTGTTACTCTTAATCAGATTTTAATTTATTATAAATGTTTCATTACCGAAAAAAGTAAAAATATGCGATAACTCTTGTTGACTGCCCGGACGATATAGCTGCTGTGGGCGTATGTTTTGTTGCCTGGCAACCAGGAGATAGCATACTGGTGATATTTAAATTTGAATTAAATGTTAAACGTGCCTTGTGCAAGAGCTAAATTGCCTATTGCAGGTCTTTCTTTAGGCCTAAAATGTTATCTAAATTATTAAACTCTGGGTGAACTTCTTGAACGACTTTCTTTAGGTCTAAAATGTTATGTAAATTATTAAACTCTTGATGAACTTCTGGAGTCACTGTTTTGTCATTATTATAATTCCAATTTGTCATTGATGTCAGTGACCTCATGTATTGTTTGTATCTGAGAGCAAAGATGATCTTGAAAAGGAAAATGATCAATATTAGTAAGATAAGTGTGGGTGGGAGGAAATTAAAACAGTAGAATGAAACTCTAGTAAGTCTCATAATTTCTTCTTTTACAGTTGTTGTCAACCTCTCAATAATTATATGAACTTTACTGATATAGAAGGTGTTTATACTTATACATTTGAAGCAGAAAAAAAAGTAAGTATGACTATGAGTCACAAATACATAACGGTATGAGTCACCAATACAAGACAGTACTTTTTCTATTTGTATGTTTTTTGTTGAGGCCTTTGATTTATCCAATAAACCAATTGGTGAAAACACTATATTAGTGTTTTGTACTGTGAGCAATTTTTGTAAAGGAATAACACATTGCAACAGCATCACAACATGTTGTTATAGCATCAAATAAATTTAAAATATATAATGATTATATGTGAGTAATTTAATGTGTTTCTACCAATTTCATGCCTAAAAAAGTGCCCCGGCCCCGGTTTATGGCAAATTAACAGCATTATATAAGTGTCTTACTTATCCCACATTTGTAAAATTTAAGTTTCAAAATCAATGGTTAAAGATGCATCAAGTTATCAGGCTTTGAAGTGTTCACAATATAATTTGATTGTAAAGTACCCTTGTTACGAAAATAATCGAAGTCTTGATTGTCCATTTTAAAAATAAATTATTAAATGGTGATCATGTTTCAATCCATTGAAAATCGTGACCATTCAATGTACTAGATAGTTGATTATGGGCTTGCCATGTGAATAAATGTCTAATTAATAATTTATAAAACATTGGAGGCCAAAAAGACCTGCATTAGTCAGATTTAGCTCTTACATAATGCACCCTTACAAATATGTCACCTATCTCAAAAGTGTAGACAATTACATGTAAACAAGATGGTAATATGATAAATTAGGTATTTATATACTCAAATGTTAGTGTTAATGTGGCCACCCCTTGTACGCAAATAGTGTAAATATATGGTATATCAAGGTTGTGGACCCTCTAGAGCCCACAATTTTGATACGATTTTGATGAAACCAGAAATATACCTTTTTAACCCAAAGATTGTACGAAAAATTGTGTTTTTAGCTTGTGGTCCCTCTAGGGGTCACAATTTTTATCTGATTTATAAAAGCGTATATCACCGTTATACCCTAATTATGGGTGAGCTCAATTTTCGTGAAAATCGGACCAAAACTGCCGGACAAAATGGCTGCCCCTCGTACACAAATAGTGTAAATATATGGTATATCAAGGTTACGGACCCTCTAGAGGACACAATTTTCATCTGATTTTAATGAAACTTGAAATACATGTTTATAACCGAAAGATCTTGGTTCGTTTCGATATTCATGCATATCGGATCGTAACTTCCTGAATATGGCCATTGATTGTACAAAAAAATCATGTTTTTAGCTTGTTTTCCCTCTAGAGGTCAAAATTTTTATCTGATTTAAAAAAAATGTTTGAATATATCACCGTTACACCCTAATGATGGTTGAGCTTAAATTTCGTGAAAATGGGACCAAAACTGATGGACAAAATGGCTGCCCCTTGTACGCAAATAGTGTAAATATATGGTATATCAAGGTTGTGGACCCTTTAGAAGTCACAATTTTGACCCGATTTTTATGAAACTTGAAATATATCTTCATAACCCAAAGATCTTGCTTTCTGGCGATATTCGCACATATCGCATCGTAACTTCCTAAATTATGGCCCTTGATTGTAAGGAAAATCACTTTTTGTTTAGCTTGTTCTCTATCCATCTCTTGCAAAATGTGGGCGTATCTGGTCTGGCAGTCGCTGGTTTTAAAACTCATTGAAATTCTGCAATAAGGAAGAAAACTATCACATCTTGGATCGTAAATTACTAATGCGTTTTTCTGATTTATATTTCTGGTCATATTTGATTTTTAATTATGTGAACTCATCGACTGGATACAGGACAAATTTGTTGAAACTTGGTGGTATTGTTTATTTGGATCAAAGAAGGAAATCTTTTCTGGAGTTGTCACCTCATTTTTCGTTCATATTGTGAATGCGTTGCATGATTTATTTGTGAAATTATTACTCTTGTCATTGAAACCTTGCAGTCGCTCTCTAGATTTCATGGAAATATTTTCTAATTATTTAACCAGTTCGGTGCCCATCAGTTACTTTTTGAGCTGTTGTGTTCTGGAGATATTTTCTTTTTCAAGCTTGCATGGATACTGGACTCCCACTGCTAAAGACCCCTACGCGCAAGAGAATTATGTAAATAAAATTAAACCATATGTTAGTCCCGAAATGACCTAGTTTGTGTCGAGTGGACGTTAAACCCCATTCTCTCTCTCTGGATACTGGAGGTTCTTTTCAAAACTTCAAGCAACTTTTTTAAGGGGGACAACTTCTGCAACCATCTCAAATTATTAAGACGCTTTTGGAAGTATGTTTCCTTGCCTGCCAACCTATGTTTTTATATATAATTACAATTACAGGAGGATTGTGTTGCTTGCAGTCAAAAACCTCAAAAGATATCATTTTGTGAAAGTGATAAACTTCAAGATATACTTACATATTTATTAGAAAGTACAACTTAGTAAGTCTGTTACTATTTACACAGATTTCTAATTAATGAAAATTATAGTCTACAAACAAATGTAGACTTTAAAAGATGTAATGCGCTAGAAGGTCAATAATAATTTTCTGTTTCTAATTTAACCTACAATAAATGTGCTAAAAAATGTTTGTTAGATTGAAGTTTAGACAATTACAAGAGATAACCTATTTTGGTTACTATTTTGGTTACTATTTTGAGCTCAATGTGAAGGGAAACAGACGACCTCAACAATAAAGATGGTAGAGTAAAAAAAAAAAAAAAATCTGAACCTTAGATGACCATTACGATTGATAAAAATTAATAATTTTTTGGCCAATATGCTTTTTTTTTTATTAAAACAAACTTTTATCATGTATGGTCTGCCTTTTCAGTTTGGAATGTTATGGCTTTAATTAAATGACAATAATTATTTACAATTCTGTCTTTTCAAAACATATTGGGTACTGGTATGAAGTTATTCAGGTAACAGTTCCAATATTTTTTATTCTAACAGTCAGATGAAATCACCAAGTATTACAACTGCTATTAACGGTAAAAATAGAACATTATATATGCAGTCTGTGAAATCTATAGAAGAAAAAACACGAGCTAATCTTAAGAAGTCATTGGCAGGTAATCAGCTTTCTAACATTCTTATGACTTCACTTTGTAAAAAGAATAAAAAAAAAAATAAGTTTCTCATGTGGTGGACTTAATTTCTAGGATTTCATTTTGTGATGTGGAAATTAGAAAGTAATCAAAAATTGAAAGGCCTCTTTGTGTTCGGGAATGGTACATATGAGAGTTTTAGAGAAACCTTTTTTCTGCATTTAATTTATTTTATTAACTTCCATCCATACATAAGTCGATGCAGAGGCTATGTTAAATTCTGACAATAAAACTAGCTACTTTTTTTTTATGTGCTCCCATTACTGTCTTACATTTGGCATGCATAGTCTCAATAAAAAGTGACTCTTCTGGAATGTTTCTTAGGAAACATTTGGCTGCGTTACCATCCTCAATAGAAGCTGATGTTAATCCTCACTAACAAATGAACGAATGATACTGATGCACTAAATCATTGATACTTGTCTGTATAAACATTATCTTTTTTTTGTTGTTGTTGACAGAATTGGAATTGTGTAGTGGACAAGAATTATATGTAGCTGACCCTACAACACCTTCGTCACTAACTTTTATACTTCAAATGGGAACAAAGATGGAATGAGTATTTCAGACTGGAATGGCAATAATCTGAATACTAATAATTGACCTTTGTTAGTTTCTTAATTTAAGATTATAACTAGTAAAAAAATCATGCTTGGTTGTCTTCAAAAAAAAATATGTTATGGGGGCAATTGCGTTCAAAAAAATATTACGAACATATGAAATATGTGAAAGTTTCACATTTCACGATATTTGACTACATGAATATACTCCTGCTTCAGACTCGCATTCCGTCTTCCTTAGCCCGGTTTGTGCAGAAAAGTAGGATGTTAAACCCCATTTTATTCATTAATTCAGCCTTACATAAGTTACATTAGATTATATTTATTAGTAGGCCCTATGTGGGATTGTATGATTTTATATGCGCCCACATGGAAATGTGGTCATATATTGCCGTCGCCCCTGTCCGTACGTCGTCCACAATTTCTTGTGAACACTCTACAGACTACATTTATCATCTGATTGTTTTAAATAGGTAAATGTTGTTTACATTAGTGAGATGAGGAAACCTATTTAATTTCAATAATTTCTGTTAATTTCTTCTGGAGTTATGGCCCTTGTTTCACTTTGTTGACCCTTGTGAGTGCTCTAACAACAAAAGTTATCATCCGCTCTGTATAGAATTTATATGCATCATTTAAATTAGTAAAACGAAGAAGCCTATTAAATTTCAGCATTTTCCGTTAATTACGTCTAGAGATATCACCCTTGTTTAACTTTGTTGAACCTTGTGAACATTCTAATGACGAAAGTTATCATTTGATATGTACAAATTTTATATGCAGCATTTAAATTAGTGAAACGAAGAATCCTATTGAATTTCAATAATTTACAATAATTACTTGTAGAGTTATGGCCCTTGTTGAACCTTGTGAACACTTGAACGATGGAAGTTATCATCGGATCTGTATGAAATTTATATGCATTATTTAAATTAGTGAAATGAAGAATCCTATTGAATTTCTGTCAATTACTTCTAAATTTATGGCCCTTGTTTTACTTTGTTGAACTTGTGAACGTACAAATGACAAAAGTTATAATCCGATCTGTATGAAATTTATATGCATTATTTGAATTAGTAAAACGAAAAAGCTGGTTGAATTTCAATAATTTCTGTAAATTACTTCCAGAGTTAAGGCCCTTGTTTCAGTTTGTAGAACCTTGTGAACCCTCAACGACGAGAATTATAATCTGATCTGCATGAATTTGTCTTGTAAATAAATGCCCCCAATTATCTACAAAAGAATAAATGTGCGACAACCCTTTTCGACAACTCAGACGATTTTTAGCTGTTGTGGGCATGTTTCTTTGCCTGGCAACCTATCTTAATTCTTGGGTACAGGAGTACTAAGTAAGTGAATTAAAATGGAATCTAGTGAAACATGACAATGTAATTAATACAGTATACGTTGCTTTTAGTTTTATGCTGGGTAAGTTTTCTACCTATCTAAATTTATAATTGTATTTATTTGTCATTTATGTGCACACAATTCACATTGTGAGATGGGAGTAGTTGCTCCTTTAACTGACATCATATACCTCCATTCACAAGGCTTTCTGGCAGGTATATTTTCATTGGACGAACCTATACTATGTTTAATAATCAGTATCTGTAATGTTTGATATGCAATGAGCCCTTAAAATATATTCTGATGTTTGGACATCGTAGTACATGCATAATTACGGTTATCTGTATTTTTTTGTCCATATGTATTGGGTTTCAACTGTGTAACTTTACATGGATTAAGAATTATAATTGTTTTATTAAGAATCTTTATAAAGATCACATAATTGTTTTGTCTTTTTTGTCCTATGTTGTATATTTTTTATAATAAAAAAAACTAATATTTAATTACCATTGGGCTTCATTATAAAAAGATATTGAAATTTTTAGAGATTTACCCCAATCTGCAAAAAAAAAGAAATAATTTCTGATTTGGCATGATTTGACTTTAAGGTTATATGGGGGCGATTAGATTACAAGCAAAATTTGAGACTGGTTTGTCAATCCATCAAAATGTTGTTTTAAGACTATGGCTAATAGTTGGCTCCAAATATCTAGCAGGCACACTTCAACAAGAGCATCGCTAAAGCTGCAATATATGTCCACATTCCTGCTTTGATTGATATGGTACTTTTTAAAATGAAGAGAATGAAATATGAAATGGCTGTATAATATGACAAGTGGAAAAGAAGGCTAGGCGTTGGGTTTGTATTGCCAAGTGGGTGTGACACTGCCCCAAGGGGTCGGGGCATGCACCAAAATAAATAGTTGCTGTCTTTACGGTATAATGAATAAATATGCAAAGTTCCAAAATGATCCATTCAGAATTGCAGCCTGTAGATGATAAATACAAAAATTGGGCATGGCTCTGCCCTTGGGGGGTTGGATATGGAACAATATAAATAGGTACCACCCTGTTATTGAAATGATTGATATGCTGAATTTGAACAAAATCTGTTAATTATTGCAACCTGTAGAGTTTTACCGATAAATCTAACAAAAAAGTGGGTGTGGTACCACACCCCTGGGGGTCTGGGCATACACTAAAATAACTATTTGCTATCCTTACAGTATAAGGAATAAATATGCCAAGATCCAAGATGATCCATTTAGAATTCCAGTCTGTAGACAAAAAACACAAAAATTGGGTGTGGCTCTGCCCCTGGGGGTTGGACATGGACCAATATATATAGGTACAACCCTATGCTGGATCATTTCAAATTGGATCTAAATCTGTTAATAATTGCAACAAGTATATCATTTACAGACAAAATATCAACAAAAAGTGGGTGTGGCACCGCTGAAAGGGGTGGAGGAGGGGGTCGTGCACCAAAAATAATAGGTCAGCCTTAGGGTATAAGGAATAAGTATAAAGAAGTTTTCAAGATGATCGATTAAGAATTGCGGGCTGTAAGTGACACACAGACACACAAAAAGAAAATGGGCGTGGCTCTGCCCCTGGGATTTGGGCATTCACCACAAACAATAGGGATCTTCCTTAGGATAGAAGGAATAAGTATGCAAAGTTTCAAGGTAATAGGTTAAGAAATGCAGTCTGTAGATGACAAACAAATAAATAAAAGAAATGGGCGAGGCACTCCCAGGGGGTGGGGTAAGCACCAAAAAGAGAGAGAAATGGGGTTTTAACATCCACTCGACACAAACTAGGTCATTTCGGGACTAACACATGGTTCAATTTTATTTCAATAATTTGCTTGATCGTAGGGGTCTTTTTAGCAGTGGGAGGAAACTGGAGGACCCGGAGAAAACCCACGAGATTGGACAGGCAACCCAACTCTTTGTCACGTATAACCGGGAAATCGAAAAACCCCGCCAGTTGACTCAATGACAAGACTGTATGATACAGCGCGCGCAGCGTGCTCACCATTCGGCTATCCACCCCCCCCCCCTTATGGTATAAGGTAGTTACTTTAGTAACGTAAATTGTACCCGATACAATTTACGTTACTAAAGTAACTAGGTATAAGGAATAATTATGAGAAGTTTCAAAAATAATCCACTAAGAAATGTGGCCAGTAGACAACAAACAAATACAAAAAAGGTGTGATTCTGCCCCTGGGGGTCGGGCATGCACCATAAACAATAGGGATCATCCTTGGGGTGCAAGGATTAAGTATGCAAAGTTTCAAGATGATCAGTTAAAAATTGCGGCCTGTAGGCGACACCCACACCCACCCACAGACAGGGACAACGGCAATATACGTCCACATTATAAATGTGGACGTATACAAATTTAATATGAGCCAGTTCTTGAATAATTAGCTTACCCTAGGGTCATTTGGAATGACATGAATTAGGTATATCTCTGAGTCGAAATTTCATACACCTCTGTTATAATGATAAACACATTTAATAGAATTACAGGTTCCAGTGTGTTACTATGCTATATTTGTTCTCTACCTAACAGTAAATTAATGCAACTTGTCAAGCTAAATATGTCATAACTAGGAAAATGACCACCGGTTAGTTCCTTTATTTTATTCATTATGTGGAGGTATATTGCCATCGTCTGTGTGTGTCGCCTACAGGCCGGATCCTTTGGAAACTTTGCATACTTTTCCTTATACCCTAAGGATGGTCCCTATTGTTTTGGTGAATGCCAGATCCCCAGGGGCAGAGCCATGCCCATGTTTTCTTTGTGTGTCTGTGTGTTGCCTACAGAGAGAGAGAGACAGATAGAGAGAGAGATTAAGGTCCACTAGACACAAACTAGGTCATTTCGGGACTAACATATGGTTTAATTTTATTTCAATAATACGCTTGCGCGTAGGGGTCTTTAGCAGTGGGAGGAAACCGGAGGACCCAGAGAAAACCCACGAGGTTGGACAGGCGACCCTACTCGGATCCTTGCCACGTACAACCGGGGATTCGAAACCATGCCAGTTGACTCAATGACAGGCCTTATGATACAACCCCCCCCCCCCTTGTTGCCTACAGACCACAATTCTTAATGTATCGTTTTGGAACTTGGCATATGTATTCATTATAGATTTAACACCGTTCGACTTTCAGGGAATGCAGCTCGTAGACATGTGTTCCCTAAGTATCAGAAATGAATACAGATTCTTGGAATTTAACAACTTATTATTTCCTATGTAATGGACCTCCAACTAGTATATAGGTTCCCTAAGCTGTTCTCTCCAACTAATAAATCATCTTACACACATTTGTCTATTTATATAAATTAGTTACTTTGAAAGTGTTGACATAAACATACATTTGTATAATTATTGAAGGATTAAGACTAAGGCATTTAAAACAATAGTTAGAATAAACTTAACAAATCAAACACTTTTATAGTTGCCAGTCTGTCATAATTTGACTGACAGTTTAATTGTTGTCTGCCTCTATAATGACTAACCAAGCATTAATGAATATTAAAATATAGATTTGAAATTTAAAACAGAATTAAAATTAATAAAATAACATATGACCTAGATATAGATTAAGGACGGTAACTATTGATTTTGGTGCGTGTCCCAACAACCCCCAGGGACAGAGCTACGCCCCCTTTTTGTGTTTATCGTATATAGGCCACAATTCTGATTGCTTTATCTAGGAACTTGGTATGCTTGGACGGCAACTATTGATTTTGGTGCATGTCCTGATCCCCAGGGGTGGTGTCACACCCACTTTTTTGTTAATTTTTTGTCTGTAAATAAACTTACTCTACAGGTTACAATTATGAATATATTTTGTTCAAATTCAGCATTTGGACCTATTTATATTGTTCCATCTCCAACACCCAGGGGCAAAGCCACGCCCAATTTTATTGTTTATCGTTTAAAGACTGCAATTCTGAATGGATCATATTGGAACTTGGCATATTTATTCCTTACACCATCTATTTATTTTGGTGCATGCCCCGTCACACTCTGGGGCAGTGTCACACCCACGTTTTGTTAATAATTAGTCTGTAAATTTTGGAAAAACAAACCCAACACCTAGCTGTCTTTGCCTCTTATCATATTACAGTGGTTGCAGCCATTTCATTCTCTTCATTTTAAAAATACTATATCAATCTGAGTAGGAATGTGGACGTATATTGCAGCCTTAGTGTTGCTCTTGTTCATTTTTGGAAATAGGTGGAAGTCTGACAGGGCTATATCTGGCCAAAAAACCATTAGGATCTGCTTCAAAATTTGTTGGCGATGATGTGTTCAACCCTCTCATGAAAGATGCCTACATTACTGTCAATATGTTGAGTGGTCAAATGTTGATCAGTCATCACCATGTCATGAACCCGGGTAAGGTTTTCTTGGATGATTGCTGTTGATGGCCTTTCCGGACACAGGTCATCGTCAAGGCTCTCTCTGCCATTAAATTCCGTGGGACACTGTGGAAAAGAAACGGGCATCATCCCCTAAAGTGGAGACCATGTCGGCATGTATCTGTGTTGGCCTTAGTCCTTTCAGTTGCAGTCCTTTCAGTTGCATTGTAGCCAGTTTTGTCGATTTCTGGTGATTTCAATGTGTAGGTTCACTGGATGGTCTGGTATGAAGACAAATAATAACACTACAGTTGCAGTTCTTATCTACATGATTCATTCAATGATTGTACTTGTTCGTGGCAAACTTTGTTTCAACCCAATTATCTATCCTTTTCGGGCTAGGATCTTTTCAGTCAGCCCTTGTACTATATCATCAATGTTTATTTAAAACCAAATTATAATCCCAATGATTTATTCATTCTTGATAATTTGTCAAGTGCCACGCACAAGCAACTGAGCCTAATCATGACAATGGATTCACATGACTTGTTGACCTATTATTCTAAGAGGTAAAGTTTTTTGTGGGTGCATTCTTTGATAGAAATTTTATTATGTTGGATGCAAAGCAATGATAAATATATACGTATACAACTTTAGATAATTAAAATGAGAACAAACAAAATAGCATTGTGTCATCAACGTGACAATAGGTAAATAGTTTTATTGCTTAAAAGTCATATTTAGAAGAATCTACTTCTCATTGTGTTGCCAAACCAATGTCTGTTGTTACCATTGGCACCCCTTCCTCTACCTGGAAGGGGGTTCATATCTGGAAGGGGACCTATCGGATCATATCTTGGTCTCAAAAAATCAGCCCCAGGACGCCCTCTTCTTCCAGACATTGGATCAGGTATTCCTGAAATTTGGAAATGTGTTTGATCAATTTTACGAAACTTGGAATATCAGTGATAAATAATTTTCAGATATTCGCAGTTGACCATTTGGATGTCTTTATTGCCTCAATCTTATATCTTACCAAGCGCTGATTTTTACAAATAATTATATGTTTACATAGGAATAAACTATAAGGGTCTGCTAAAAACACAACTGAACAAATACAAAAATTTCTAATAATATTTGTTTGTTTATTAATAGCACATTGTTGCGCTGGTGGACATTAACCTATACTCGTGAAAACTGACCAGACATGATCAGTGTCTTTAGAGCGTAAATTGGCTAGTAACTAAGAATACCAAGGTTTATACTTACCATGAAAGTGAGGATTAAGATCGTAATCACTACCATGGTTTGTACTTACCATGAACATGAGGATTAAAAATCATAATCACCACATTTTAGACCATGATTTGTACTCGCCATGAAAGTGATGATTAAGATTGTAATCACCACTTATTATACAATGATTTGCACTTACCGTGAAAGTATGGATTAAGATCATAATCACACCATGATTTGTACTTACTGTGAAAGTGTCAATTAAGGTTGTAATCCCCAACTATCAAACTATTTGTACTTACCATGAGATCATAATCATCACCTATTATACCATGATTTGTACTTACCATGAAATGAGGATTGAGATCGTAATCACCGCCTATTATACCATGATTTGGAAAGACTGTACTAACCATGAAAATGAGGATTGAGATCATAATCCTCGCCTACTATACCATGATTTGTACTTACCATGAAATGAGGATTGAGATCGTAATCACCGCCTATTATACCATGATTTGGAAAGACTGTACTAACCATGAAAATGAGGATTGAGATCATAATCCTCGCCTACTATACCATGATTTGTACTTACCATGAAATGAGGATTGAGATCGTAATCACAGCCTATTATACCATGATTTGGAAAGACTGTACTAACCATGAAAATGAGGATTGAGACCATAATCGTCGCCTACTATACCATGATTTGTACTTACCATGAAAATGAGGATTGAGATCGTAATCACCGCCTATTATACCATGATTTGGAAAGACTGGAGCAAATGGTGAATAATGACGAGGCTGGTTAAAATCAAATGAAGGCGTCACAAAAGTTGAATGTTTTATTCTCTTCAGATATTCTTTTCTAGCCTTATACTTTTGCTTGTATATCTGTTAAGTAGGAATTAAATATTTATTAAAATTTCAAAGATCATTAGATCGTTCCTAACAGTGCCAAAATTAATATTTCTAACTCTTTATATATTGTAGATATATATCATATCTTGCCTGGAAACTGCTTGATATCTGAACCAGTGGTTGCCAGGCAGGATACGACCACATTTTGCAAGACATGGATAGAGAACAAGCTAAAAACAAAAGCGATTTTTTGTACGATCAGGGGACATAAATCCAGAAAGTTATGGTCTGAAATGTGCAAATATCAGGGGCTATAGTTACGATCCGATATGCGTGTTCATCGAAAGGAACCAAGATCTTTGGGTTATAAACATGCATTTCAAGTTTCATCAGGATAATACATCCACATGAAAATGTGGGCATATAAAAATTGTGACCTGTAGAGTGTCCACAAACAAATTGTGAATGCATGGACGGACAGGGGCAACGGCATAATATGTCCACATGAAAATGTTGGCATATAAAAAATGGTTCTCAAATGAAATTAATGCTTTGTCCTTGTTAATGGTAGATTTGACAAAATGTCCCTTTATTATCCAACCATCTAGCTTAACTGATGTCAGAATCAAAGGTGAACTTGCGAAGTTGAAGAGGTAATATCACAATAAATCTTGTCAGAAAAGATGTCTTATAAGGCTGTTCTTTGATCTTTATTGCAGAGTACCACTATGCCAACACAATTATAAAAAAACGAAACAAAATAAAGATCTAATTTAAACATACATTATGCAAGAGCTAAATCTGCCTATTGCAGATCTTTCTTTAGGCCTGAAATGTTATATAAACTATTAATTTGACATTTATTAACATGAAAAGACCATAATCAACTCTCGATGCCATCTTATAAATCTTCTAACAAAATATTTCGTCTTCAAATTAAAATGTATAGGTAAAACACTGTCCAACGAACATTATATGGCTTACATAAGAAACAAGCTTGGCTAGAGGGCATAAAACCGGTATCATTATTTCTTTTGTTACATTTTATTGTATAAGCCATGCATGGCACCAACTATTCTGATTATGTCATTTGTCACAGTGTAATTTGTATGCAATTTGTTCGTGAAGCTGGCATGGTTATTTGTGCATCAAACCCGCTCCCCGTTAAGTAGTAGGTCACAGATATTAACTTTAGCCTCTAGAGCGTCTACAAGATATTTCAAAGTGATCATGGGCCATAACTCTGGCAGTAATTATCGGTATCGTTGAAAATAAATAGGCTTCTTCGTCTTATGACCTTAAACACTGTGTATAAATTTAAAGTCAATCAGATATTAACTTTCGTCTCTAGAGTTGTGGATGCCAGACCGACGGATGGATGGACGGGGGCGACGACAATATACAACCACATGTCAATGTGGGTGTATAACCAGTGGCTGCCAGGCAGGATACGCCCACATTTTGCATGAGATGGATAGAGAATAAGCTAAAAACAACCAGCGGCTGCCAGACAGGATACACTCACATTATGCAAGAGATGGATGAGAACAAGCTAAAAACAAACATGATTTTTTGTACAATCAGGGGCAATAATCCAGAAAGTTATGGTCTGAAATGGGACTGAGATCTTTTAGATATAAAGATATGTTTTAAGTTTCATTAAAATCGGATACAAATTGTGACCTCTAGAGGGTCCATAAACTTCGTATCGCATTCTTTTACACAATTTGCGTACAAAGAGCGGACATTTTGTCGGGCAGTTTCATTTCGATTTTCCTGAAATTCGAATTCAACATTCATTATGGTGGAATGGTGATATATTTAAACAGTTTTTAAAATCCAAACTCAATCAAAATTACGGTGTAACGGTGATATATTCGAACGTTTTTTTTAAAACAGATAATAATTGTGACCTCTAGAGGAATCACAAGCTAAAAACGCAATTTTTCGTACAATCAGGGGCCATAATTCAGGAAGTCATGATCCGATATGCACGAATATCGAAAGGAACCAATATCTCTGGGTTATAAACATGTATTTCAAGTTTCATCAAAATTGGATCAAAATTGTGACCTCTAAGAGTGTCCACAACTTTGATATACCACATGTTATGTACACTATTTGCGTACTATTTTGTCCGGCAGTTTTATCAAAAAACATCAATCAGTCAGAAGGTAGTTGGAATATTGCTAGCCGGATGTGGACAGTGTGGTTGACAAGGCAAATACTAAAGGTGGGCGTGGCCTGCCTCTGTTTTTGTACGCCGTACAATCGTCATGTTTGTTCTACATATTGAAAACAAGTATGGCGATTATGTTGGGCGTTAATGTTTTTTATCTAATTATTTCTGTAGTTTTGTAATCGGAGTTCAGCTTTAAGTTTTATCAAAATTGGATAAAAATTGTGACCTCTAGTCTAGAGGGTCCATAACCTTTGTATTCCATACTTATACACAATTTGTGTACAAAGAACGTCCCTTTTGTCGGTCAGTTTCATTATGATTTTCCCGAAATTCCAATTCAACCTTCATTATGGTGGAAATGGTGATATATCTAAACGGTTTTTAAAATCAGAAATAAAATTGTGACCTCTAGAGAATCCGCAAGCTAAAAATGAGATTTTTCGACCAATCAGGGGAATTAATCCAGGAAGTTACTTTCGGATATTATCAAAAGGAACCAAAATCTTTATGATAAAAACATATATTTAAAGTTTCATCCAAATCGAATAAAAACTGTGGCCTCTAGATGACCCACAACCTTGATATACCATATTTTTACACTATTTGCGTACAAAAGGCGACCATTACGTCTGTCAGTTTTTTCTGATTATCACGAAATTCAAACTCAACCATCGTTATTGTATAACTATGATATATTCACACTTTTTTTTTTCTAAATCGGAAAAAAAGTGTGACCTATATAAGTTACGATCCGATATGCGCGAATATCGAAAGGAACCAAGATCTTTGGGTTATAAACATGCATTCCAAGTTTCATCAAAATCGGATAAAAATTTTGACCTCTAGAGGATCCACAACCTTGAAATACCATATTTTTACACCAATTGCGTACAAACAAGGGGTGGCCATTTTGTCCAGAAGATTTGGTCGGATTCTCACGAAATTCGAATTCAACCAACAGTAACAGTGATATATTCGAACGGTTTTGTAAATCGGATAATAATTGTGACCTCTAAAGGGACCACAAGCTAAAAACAAGATTTTGCATACAATAAGACGCCATAAAATTGTGACCTGTAGAGTGTCTACAAACAAATTGTGGACGGACAGGGGCGATGACATAATACGTATACATGAAAATGTGGGCGTATAAAAACTCATCATGTTTAAATGACCGTCTGCACTAGCCCAGTTGGAGCAGAACAGTTAGACGTTAAACTACATATTCCCACCTGGCACTCCATTTGACATTATACAATATTTAATAATTCTCAATTCACTGGTTAACAAAATATTCTATAGGCTATAATCAATCAAAAAATGTATCCATCCGAAGCGTGCACAGTTTAATTTTTCTCTCTTTAACAAACTACTTTGTGGCATTGTTTTATACAAAATTATTCTTATCAAGGACGTTTTGCTTTCATGTTCTGTCGTATAAACAAAGACACGTAATTTTAGAGGAAGATTACTGGCGAGAATTTGAAGCAGGTACTGGTCCATACACTTTTATTCTATCGTATTAACGGAAACATGTAATTTTGTAGGAAGATTACTGACATAAATTTGAAATGAAATGGAGTTTAACGTCCTACTGTTCTGCCCCGATCTGGGCTAATGAAGACGGGCATACGCCATACAGTGTGCTATGAGGTAAATTTGCTGGACAGTGGCACTACGGCCTACACTGATATTGAATTCCAACTGTCATGGGATCTTTTACATGCACGCCAATGTGTACATGGGACCTTGTTTTTTGTCCTATCCGAAGGACTAGACAGCTGTTCTTGTCAGGCCCTCCATCCTGCATCACTGATAAGGGGGAACCACGCCGGAAAATCTGGATGAATTTTCTCGGCCAATGCTGGGATCGAACACCCGACCTCCAGGCTAGCAAACCAGCATCTTACCCACTTAGTCACCATGACCCCCCATAAATTTGAATACCATAAGGGAATTAAATATGAAAACTAGCGAGATGCACCTACTTTTGGTAATATCAGAACAAGATATGCTAATGACATGAAATATTTCAGCTGAAGTCTATTAAAGGGAATGAAAGCTTACTGATGCTATTACCTGAAGCTAACAAATGACTTCTGGCGATCCCATTCTGGCCTGTATTAACCCGAACTAAAACTCCTGATGATCAAAATTTTGAAATAGCATCCCTGCATAAACCCCATTTCATTTACCTTTCAATGAAAATATAGCCCTTGAAAACTGTGTGATATTCCCCTTTCAAGGGGTTTTAGCTGCTCTTAGTAAATCAGAGAAGTGATGTAAGACATGCATATTGTTTTTTTTTGTTTTTTTTTTACTGCAAACCTGCCAGTTATGTTCTAATTAATATAATGCTGATGAATTTTCAAATCTGAATATTTGAGTTTATATCAAATCCTCTTTAAATCAATGTTTAAATTTCTACAACAGCTCTTTAAATCAATACACAAAAGGGTTTGTTCATCACGAAATAAGATTCAAATTACAATATAAATTGATTATAGATCAAAAAATTCATTTAATCCTATTTTGATTTACTCTAAAACAGATAATATATTTTTTGCATGTTAAAATATACCTTTAATAGGAAATACAGGAGAAGCACATGACACATTAACAAATGAGAAACCCACTCAAAAGACATTTCTTAAAGATGAAGCAATATTTTAAATGTCTTTCATCTGCATCACTGTAACTAACTTATTATATAAGTGAATTAAGTACCTGGTAATACACCATCAACTGTCATGGTTGAACTGAATACCATGACAGAAAAAAGGACGGTCGTACCAACTACTGATTTTCACATTTGTGTGATTTGTTACTTTTGTGGACAGAAAACTGTTGATGTGGAAATCAACAATTTCATTTTTGACCCAAATCAAAGAGGTCTATCCTTTTTAAATCATAATGCTACCTTCCAGTGTTAGGTCAGAAACTCTTGTAATAACTACTCCATATTTAGACATATATTTAGTTATAAAGCACCTGGCAGGCTGTTATTACATTGAATATGGATATCCTCACTTAACATTTCCCACCATTTTCATGTACATCTGGATTTGAAAAGTGAAATGACTTTTATCTGTTTTTTGCAAATACGAATGTGTACTTGAGTGTTAGCCTATATGTGAAAAGTAAATTACTGATCAAGAATCTTGTTCAACGGACTGACATTAATCTCTTATATTTCCAATAGACAGCTTTTGGGATGTCACACATAAGCTTGATGTCTGAGTGACCAAAATTACCCTCAGAAATTTCAATATACACTAAGACATATCCAGACATTATTAGTTCAAATATGGTCCAAAGAGTGCAAATTATATTAGAACTATTTCTTACCTGGTACCAATTTTGAGATAAATCTGTGTTACTACTACCACCTAAAATATCAACAAAATAAACATTAATAATCCACATCATTGTCTACAGACATTGATATTTTCTTTCATTGTACTTTTATTCATACACAAGATTTTGAATCTTCCAGTTATATCTCTAAAAAGAATATAACTCTAAATATGGCTCAATTTTCTTCAGTATTCACAAAGATGGGGGGTTGGGGATGTGGGGTTGGGTGGTTGAATGGTCAACGCGTTAGATCACAAGGTCTGTCATTGAGTCATGTTTTGCAGTTTCAATTTCTCGCTTATATTTGACAAGGAGTAGGGTCACCTGTCCAACCTACTGGGTTTTTTCTGGGTCCTTTTGTTTCTTCCCACAGCAAAAGACCCGTAAGTGCAAGCGAATTATTGAAATAAAATTGCACATGTTAGTCTCGAAATGACTATAATTAGGATGTAATGTTGATATATTTAAACAGTTTTATTAATCGGATAAGGGGAGTTGGATGGCCGAATGGTTATCTTGTGCGTGCTGTATATCATAAGGTCTATCATTGAGTCAACTGACGTGGTTTTGATTCCTTGTACCAATGGTAAAGTGTTTATTTTGTCTTAAATATTGGATATCAGAAGCCTATCTTTTCCCGGTAAGATCACAACATCAATGTTGATTTGAATTGAGAAAAATAATTTGTGTTTTCAACTTGTAAGACTTTGGATGATATTGAGTTAGAGACTTAGCTACTTTAAGTTTCATCAAAATCAGATGGAATCTTATACATATAGTGTCTAGAAGCTAAAAAAAACATGATTTTTCGTATGGTCCGATACATGCCAATATTGAAAGGAACCGAGATCTCTTGGAGATAAACCTACATTTCAAGTTTTGTCAAAATTGACCTGTAGAGTGTCCACAAACATGAAAATGTGGGCGGATAAAAAATCAAGTACTGTTCTTATAATATACAAGGGACTTGGAAGCATTCCAGAAAACTGTGTATTTTACTCCGCTGTACTCTGCCTCAAACATGAGACAAGTTACACTTTAATTTCTAGCACTTGGTGAACTAATTGTTTTTGGTTGAACTATTTACTATCTACTACTAAATAGATTCAACCATTCTCTATCCAAAGTAAAAATAGTTTCATTTTCAATTAATAAATTCACACCAACTGTGTCGTTTCGCAGGGAACTGTCATCCACTGTAAGCAAACAAAGCAGTGCACATGGTGAATAACACTTTGAACAACAATGGATGATCAATTATATACTGAGCGCCATGGAAAATGCATCACTTAGTTTTTCATATAACAAAATGATCCTGTAAACATATCTTATTTATTTTGCTTCTTATTTTGAACAATATTCAAATGGGAACACATCAATAACAACACATTTGTACACTTATGGATGTTTAATCTGTAATCAACGGTACAAAGTCAGAGGGGTCAAAACCAAAAGTACGACACAGATGTCAGTAGCGCTTGTGTCCTCCACGGGCTCTTACGCACGCTGTGCAGCGACGTCGCATGGAATTTACCAATGTTTGAAAGAAGGCCTGGGGCAAATTGTTCCATTCTTGGACAAGAGCAGCTTCTAAAGCAGCAATGGTGTGCATCTGTGGTCTCCGATACAGGCGGCGTCCAATCTCATCCCAGACATGTTCTATCGGTGCCATGTCCGGAGACATGGCTGGCCAGTCCAAGACATTAATGTTGTTAGCAGCCAGGTAGTCAATACTAAAACGGGCGGTATGCGGACGTGCATTATCCTGTTGGAAGTGCTGAAGTTGTGGGTACGCTCGAAACATCAGAACAACAATTGGTTGAAAGACAACATCACGGTAGGCTACAGCATTAACGCGACACCTGCAAATGTGTAGGGCGGTCCGGTGATGAAATGTGAAGCCTCCCCACACCATTACACTTCCCCCACCCCATCGATTCGCTTTGAAGACGCAGCAGTCTGCAAGACGTTCCCCAAGACGTCTCCATACATGTTGACGGCCATCAGCGTGATAAAGATGAAAGCGACTCTCATCACTAAAGAGCACACTTTGCCAGTCTACTCTTCTGATTGTTTGGTGTTCTTGAGCCCATATCAAACGCCGCCGACGGTGATGATCCCTGAGGATAGCTCCAACATAAGGTCGTCGTGCACGGAGTCCTACTTCTCTTAGACGACGTCTTACAGTGTTGGCACTTACTCGTCCTTGTCTTCCGACGACTGCTGCACCTGTTCGAGTCGCTGGGCGGAATCTGTCACGCAGATGAGAGATCCGGATATAGCGTTCTTGAGCCAGGGTTGTAACGCGTTGTGGACCAGGACGTTGACGATCACGTGTTGATCCAGTAACTCGAACACGTTCCACCAACCTTACAATAGTGGACTGATGACAATTGAAGTGTCTGGCAATAGCACGTGTAGACATGCCAGCCCTGGACATACCCATGGCTTCATTCCGTTGATTTTCAGTAAGTCTCGGCATCTCTAGCTCGATTCCTTCACACGTCCAACAACAAATTACGACAGATTGACGTTTCACAGTTCATGTACTGCACATTAAGTTGAAAACATGCTTTTAAAGGGCTCACACACAATGCTGCACGTGAATATTGGGTTTTTCATGTGCATCTCGTGCAATTTTTTTTTGTGCACACGGGCCGATACTTTTGCGTTTGGGAGCATTGTGTGAAACAATAGTTCATAGTATTGCATAATATTATACATACAAAACCACTTAGTAATATTATACATACAAAACCACTGGGCCGATATTTTTTGCGTTTGGGAGCATTGTGTGAAACAATAGTTTATAGTATTGCATAATATACTATTCAAAAAAAGTAGGGGATATTTGATTTTGGGGGCATAATACTAAAATATGCAAATGACTACGAAAAAAGTCACTATAGAACCTAACAGAAGAAACATTTCCAGTTACATGTGACGCCCAAACGCACCAATAGCTACCGCATGGAATGCAGGTGATGCTTGGGATCATCATGGGGGTCCAACCCAAGATTTGCACGACTCTGACTTTGAATGTTACAGTCATTGTGGCATTGAATTCCAGGGTGGAAACATCAGTTTAATTGTTTTAGTGACCAGAAAACAAATTTTGATATGCGTCGGCTTACCCAAAATGAAAGGTTACGTGCCCTTGGCATGCTACAGATCGGCAAAACACAGGCGGTTGTGGCGCGGACGATGAATTTTTCTCAGTCTGTCATAAGCAGGCTATGGTCCAGATACCGTGATACACAATCTGTACAGGACAGACCACGCTCAGGTCGACCAAGGGCGACAACTCAAGCCCAGGATCGATTTATCCGTACCTTGGCCATGAGAAATCGTGTCATCACAGCAAATCAGATCAGCGCTCGTCTTCAAACAGACACTGGTGTGAGAGTGAGTGGCCAGACGATTCGGAATCGACTGCATAGGGGTCACCTTCGCGCCCGACGTCCTCGCGTGATCCCTTGTTTGAGAGATCATCACATTCAGGCAAGACGTCGTTGGTGTAGGGATCGTCAACACTGGGATAATCGACGCTGGAGCAATGTGATGTTTTCAGATGAGTCAAGGTTCACTGTTGATTTTTTGGACAGACGTAGGAGGGTGTGGCGTCGTCGAAACGAGCGCTTCCAAGACGTTAACGTCATCAGACATGATCGATTTGGGGGTGGTTCTGTTATGGTGTGGGGAGGCATCACTGTTGCTGGAAGAACGGCTTTACGTGTTGTTGCAGGGCGTGTTACAGGCCAGTACTACCGGGACAACATCTTGGCAGTCCATGTTGTGCGGTTCGCACGACGTCATGGCCACCGTTTCATCTTCCAGGATGACAACGCAAGATGTCACAGGGCCAGGATCGTTACAGGTTACCTCCAAAACAGAACATCACCACATTACCTTGGCCAGCACTGAGTCCCGACCTCTCCCCCATCGAGCATGTCTGGGACATGCTTGGACAGAGGGTACGTCAACGTCAACAACGTCCTGCCAATGTCCAAGAACTTGCTGCTGCGTTGCAACAGGAATGGGACAATCTGGACCAAAATGACCTTAGACGTCTCATTAGGAGTATGCCACGTCGGATCAATGCTTGTTTGGCAAACAGAGGAGGATTTACCCGTTACTGACTTGGTTGTGATGCTGTGGTAACTTTGCTGTTTGACCCCGGGTATCATTTTACCCTTATAATGGTCAGTCTGTGCCTTACTTAGTCTAACGATCATTTGGAATAAATCGATGAATGTGAACTTCATTTCATTTTGTCATTTGTTTCTTCGTCAGTTTCATTAGGTGACTTTAATAACACTTAAAAATCAAATATCCCCTACTTTTTTTGAATAGTATATTATACATACAAAACCACCTAGTAATAAAATATTTGGGAAAAAAAGTGATGCGTTTTCCATGGCGCTCAGTATATTTTCAACTAGATGATAAATGCCACCACTGTCAAAATGGTACAGTAGCCAGCCTATAGTCCTTACCATGGTTTGAGAAATATATTACAGCACCATGACTTTTAATTAAATCTATTTTTATAGAGTACAGCATTTGTAAATAAAGGTTCACATTTTTAAAAATTCTATCGAGTTAGATTTATACGTGAATTGGTGACTAACCAAGTAAATATTATGTAGAAACAAGAAAAAATGAGACCGTAAGTAATCGACATATAGACACAGCCATAAAAGATCTATTATGTATATTTACAAAAATTCTATCGAGTTTGATTTATACGTGAATTGGTGACTAACCATGTAAATATGTAGAAACAAGAAAAAATGAGATTTTTAGTAATCAACATATAGACACAGCCATAGAAGATTTATTATGTATACATACAAAAGAAACTCAAATAAATGAAATGTACACATAGGTTAGGATATTAAACAAATATAAATAGCAATTTTACTTAATAAATAATTGAAATTTGTTCTAGTTCTAGGGTGAAATTGAAACATGAAGTCAATAGCCCTGTTTACACTTGGCCGTGATAAGTCTGTTGTTCTCGGCACGGTACCAGGCCGCGATACATTTCAAGAAATTGACTCGTTTACATTACTATACAATAACCGGTCTTGGAACTGTGCCAGGCACGCCAAATGTTGGACTCAGTACGGCATGCCTATGTTTGACCCGTTTACACTACAAAAAAATTAACTGTACCGTGCCGTGCCTAGCACCGTACCTGGCACTCCTAAAATTTGTAATGCAAACAGGGTTAATGTACGAAGGTAAGCATAGACATCCTGAATAAAATCAGATGTTTTCTTTAGTTTTTCTTCCCTGTATTTTATATTTTACCAGAAGCATTTGACAAGTTTTATCACTGGGTTGTGTACTTCACTTGTTATACAACGTAAGTAGCCAACTAAACAGCTACAATTTCAATCGTACCAAGTCATCGTCCACTGATCTACAAATAGAATCACTGAAGTCTTGTGCATAACACAGCTATATGAACAGTGGTACCGGTAGTTTTGAATATGTTTTTAGATCTTGTATAGAAATTCAAAACCGTAAAGAAGAAACAAAATAAAAATATCCTTTTAATTTGATTGTAAGCATACCAAAAATGTACTGTGTGCGCAATACCTGTCCCTCGTCTGATCAGATGTTTATAAACCAGAATAACAATACCTCAACAAAATCAAGAATGCATAAGATTAACAAATACAGTGTTTTACTATCAACGATTTTCAGAGTATTATCATTGAAATCTAGAGTACCGGTACATAAGATTATTAAACACAGATCTAGGAGTTTCCTCTCAGTTTTTATATGAAAGCATTCACATTTTCAACAGTGCTACTAAAGTACTCCAGGCAATAAATCACCCATTAAATGGAGGAGCATAAAAAGACTGTTGTTAGATGACTATTGTGTGGTACAAACCTTTAAATGTAGTCAAATAAAGTTTTCTCCAGATAAAAGGATCTTTATATATGTTGTTGAGTTGTTTACATACTTCTCCCATTCTTAATAAACTACCACAATCTAAATAACTTAATATCTTCAACTAAAATATAATAGAAAGAAGACAATAATAAATGGACATCAATCCAGACCAAAAAGCACTGAATTCAAAACAGGGATATGATTGCAGTCTCCTACAGCCGTTTAATGTTTGAAAAAGCCGATTGATAAAACAATGGACTGGCAACTAAGGTATCAGCTCAAATAACAAAGAGTTCATTATTACTTGTTGATTAAAGACATCAATGAATTTGTCAGTGACTAGGCCAAACCTTGTGAGAATTAACCACATGGCAGATGTGGCTCATGCGGTTCTCATTTTAAGTATTAACAGAACACAATTTTTATGGGAAACAACCACTGGTTTTATTTTTAACTGTAATTTTGATATTCCTATAAATATGCAAGGGGGGTTGGATGGCCGAATGGTATTATAAGGTCTGTCATTGAGTCAACTGGCACGGTTTTGATTTCCCAGTTGTACATGACAAGGAGTAGGGTCGCCTGTCCAAACTCTGGGGTCTTCTCCGGGTCCTCTGATTTCCTCTCAGTGTTAAAGACCCTACGCACAAGCAAATTATTGAAAAAATTGAACCATGTGTTAGCCCCGAAATTACCCCCCTCTCTCTCTCAATACACACAACTTGTGAATGCCGACCTCTAACTTTTTGTTGATTACTGTTAATACCTAAGAGAATGGGAGCTGGTTGACCCTGTTTCACTAAAGAGTGCTGGTTTGTTTCAGAATGGATTAAAAACCCTGGTTCAAAATCCACACAATCAAACCATATTAATAAAAAACATAAAGTTCCAAACATTATCAAATCGTTCAGTCTTGATTTAATGACATGGACATTTGAAGTTTATAATAGTTTCATATTTCCATTCGATTTCCTGCAAGCCATCTTTATCAATGTTAAGAGTTTAATCTGGAAAAAAAAAATTCCTACAGAACAGATGATAGCATTTATCGGTAGAATGTTCAGAAGATTCTACAAAGATGAAAGATAATGATTCTAGATATGGAAGACCAAATGGGACAATATTCATGATTCCTGTTTCTACATTCCAGTTTGAACATTTTAGACACAACATTCTAAACTAATGATTCTTGTTTCTACATTCTTATGTTAACATTTCATGCACAAAATCTGGTGTAATAATGTTCATAATTCATTATATTTTTCTGGACATTTTCATTTCAAGATTTTAACTTCAAGACGTTTTGAAACGTAGAAAATATTTTCATAAGAGTTCAAATTCCAGATTTTTTTTAGATACTTTCAGAAACCAATGAATTGATTTCTTTGTCGTGTAAAATTAAGAAATTATTTTTTAATTTTAATATTTAATGATATATAAAAATTACCGATAAAACGCCGAAAATGAAACATAGGGTCAATTTTTTGTTTAAAATGTTGATTTTGTGCATGAATTGTTGACATAAGAACGTAGAAACAAAAATCATTAGTTTAGAATGTTGCGTTCGTGTCTAAAATGTTCAAACTGGAATGTAGAAACAAGAATCATGAATATTGTCCCATTTGGTCTTCCATATCTAGAAGGCTTCTTCATTTCACAATGAATATAAATTTTGAAAAGATTTGTCCACAAAATTTTTTTTAGAGGACTTGAGGGATGGATGGATGTCAAGTAGAAATGGGTGTAAAGAGATATTTACCTGTGATTCATAGTTAAGCCCAAGATAACCAAAGATCTGTGGTAAACCAAGAGCTGAAATGAATTGAAATGCTGTTTATCGTCCTATTTTTCTGATCCATCAGGACTAATAAAAACGACCATATGTCAGGTGCTATGGCTGACTCTTATTTGGAATTCAAGCTGTCAATGGTTATATTTACGTACTGACCCTAGCAAGGGTTAAAAATTCAACTTTAACTTTCCATAGCAGATCAAAATATATAAAAAAAATAATAGCATATCAATAGTGTTAAAACTGCAAAAGATGAATGAATTCCTGGCTTTTCCTTGTAACTTACCAGAATTCAGTTCCTGTAGTAAAGGTAAAGCAATACCATCTTTAATTAACAATGATAACCGATGGAGATTCTTAAAAGTTCTATTTCCATCTATATACAAAGAAAGACAAATATTAAAAGCCATTACTATGAATGATCTATTATAAATATGTCAGCATTGATATCTTGAAATTTTAGTCAATAACACAAACAGCAAATAGACACTAGAACTCCTAAGGTGATTCTTAAAAGTTCTACTTCCATCTATATACAAAGAAAGACAAATATTTAAAGCCATTATTATGAATGATCTATTATAAATATGTCAGCATTGGTCTCATGAAATTTTAGTCAATAACACAAACAGCAAATAGACACTAGAACTCCTAAGGAGTACTGGGGTGTTTTGGTGTGTGACGTTACGTCACGCCTTTTCACATCAACATTCAAGTTACACCATAAATTATTGATTATATTAACATCCAATCTATATATATATTTGTGACTGTCGTTTGTCTGTCTGTCTTTCTGTCTGTCTGTCTGTCTGTTCGGGGTTGGCGGCTACACTAGGTCTGCCCCGAGTCTGAAATTTGGGGTATAAGGTTACCTCGGACCGGGGAGTAACATAGGCCAGGTGGCGTTAGTCTACCACTTCCGGTTTCGGAGTTATGACCCCGAGCGAAGCTGGTCTGTTCGGGGTTGGCGGCTACACTAGGTCTGCCCCGAGTCTGAAATTTGGGGTATAGGGGTAGCTCGGACCGGGGAGTAGCATAGGACAGGTGGCGTTAGTCTACCACTTCTGGTTTCGGAGTTATGACCCCCGAGCGAAGTCAGTCTGTTCGGGGTTGGCGGCTACACTAGGTCTGGCCCGAGTCTGAAATTTGGGGTAAAGGGGTAGCTCGAACCAGGGAGTAACATAGGCCAGGTGGCGTTAGTCTACCACTTCCGGTTTCGGAGTTATGACCCCCGAGCGAAGTCTGTTCGGGTTTGGCGGCTACACTAGGTCTGCCCCGAGTCTGAAATTTGGAGTATAGGGGTAGCTCGGACCGGGGAGTAACATAGACCAGGTGGCGTTAGTCTACCACTTCCGGTTCCGGAGTTATGACCCCCGAGCGAAGCCGGGTATCCTGCTAGTATTTAATAAAGTGGAAAAACCTGTCATTTTGAACTTTTAATAAAACCAGAAGTATACTTCATGACCAAACTTTTTTATATTAATTGTTAGTAGACATCAGGTTCATCATAGATACAAAGGTCAAGGGTCTTGGAATGATTAGGTCACCATCTAGATGGTGAAAAGTAGAACAAACTTCAAAGTCAAATCCGGAAGTAAACAAAATCGAAATTCAAAATTCGGCTCCTAAGGACTGTTGCCATTTGAAGTAGGTACAATACAAATTTTTTTTTTTTCGAAAATCGGAATTAAAATGGCAGTGGTGGAATATCGATTTGAATGGTTTTTTTGTAAAATCCAATATGGCGGCCAAGCGGTTGAAAATGTTATGGAACAAGGCCTTTGAAAATGAAAGATAATATCTGGGGCTAACACCACCATATGTCATTTTTTTGTCTATTTTTAAAAAGAGAACTATTCATGTTCAGTAAAAATCGGAAGGCCTCAGTAATTTCCGAAAGTTTCCGGAAGCTGACACAAAATTTTTTAATATGACATTTTGAAGGCATCAGTGTGTTCCTTATTTCTACCAAGTTTCAACTCGATACCTCAAATAGTGACGGAGATATGCCATCTTTGATGCTAATATTAATCGAGTGAACTTTCGAATTTCTAAAAAACGTCAGTCAGAGCACATATGGGATTCGTCCAAAGAATCCAAAAATGAAACTCGAAGAAGATTCGTTGAGAAATAATCGAGATATGGGCAATCTGAGATTATTTTTTGTCCCATCCTATTCATCAAAAATGACCCAATTTATATTTAATAAATAGACGCACTGAGGCCAACCACATCTACATTGACAGAATGTTTGCATCATGTACAGTTTTAGCTGCACAAACTGACTAAATTCCAGAAAAATAAAATAAAAACATGTAAAAAACTTTCACCATGCTAGATAACCCCAAATAAAAATAACATGTTAAAAATTCTTCACACCAAAAACCAGGTAATGGAATAAATTTTAACATCTCGTTATAACCCTACTTCACAATACTTTCAACTAAATCTTTGTTTTCTTATGAAGTGTGCAATGCTAGGGTGGAGAATTTTGCCCACACATCCGCATTTCCTCTACTCTTCGATGTGCATGTTTTGCTTTTTTTTATCAGCGCCATTCCTGACATGTGGGAACCACTAAATGAGGTGTGCACACTGCACAAATATGACTAAGAGTAAGACATCCAGAGAAAGGCCAGTAATACATGTAGGTATTTATCAGGATTTGAAGCAGTATTTTAGGAGTTAAGTCTTCTAGGTCAATTAAAATAATTCTTGTTGCATCTACCAAAAGTGAACTAACCTGTTTCAAGTGAAGTAATATAATCATCAGGTTTTATCTGAATATTTTTAGTTTCGTAACTTGAAGCCAGTTTTCCTGTAAATAATATTTATATAATCAAATAGATAATAAAGCTATTAAATTACATGATGATATAATAATAATAGTAATAATAATGTATATTTATATAGCGCCAATTCCATCCAAAATTACATGCTCAAGGCGCAGAAAAAGATACTCTGTACACTGTACACTATTTACACTAGTAGCTTGATCACTCATATTCTAGATTAAATAAATGAGTTTTCAATTTTGTCTTAAACAATTCGAGAGAACTTGACGTTTTAATGCTGTGTGGTAGGGAATTCCATACGATTGGTGCATAACATCTAAAAGATTTATAACCAAAGGATTGCAATTTGAATTTCGGTATGTGTAAAAGGCTCTGTTCTTGGGAACGAAGATTTCTTACTGTTCATAAACTTGCAAAAGTTCAGTCAGATATTCTGGGCTGGATCCATTTAAGCATTTAAACACAAGACACAAGATTTTGAACATAATTCTGGAATGTACTGGCAACCGGTGAAGTTCCTTCAGAATAGGTGTTATATGAGAGCGTCTTGATGTTTTACTTATTATTCTCGCAGCGGTGTTTTGAACAGCTTGTAATTTTGACATTAGTAATTGGTTCAGACCACTTAAAACACCATTACAATAGTCTAACCTAGAGAACACTAGAGATCGAACGAGAGTATGGGCTGTTTCATTTGTCAGAAGATGCCGGATATTTCCAATGGCACGGAGATGGAAGTAACATACTTTGCAAATGTAGTTGACATGTGTTTCCATTGATAGGGCTGAATCGAGCATTACTCTTAAGTTTTTAACATTGGTCAGCGCCTGAATGTCCGAATCGGCAATCGTTAAAGTAGTAGAGTCTAGGTTTGATAACTTTTTATTTGTTCCCACAAATAAAACCTCCGTCTTATTATCATTTAACTTTAGCATATTAGATGTCATCCATGACTTGATCTGTGTGGTGCAAGCTGAGGTCCGTTGGTAGAAATCAACATAACAATCTGCCGAAAAAGTACCAATAATCTGGGTGTCGTCGGCATAAGAGTGATGATTAAAACCATGATTACTAATTACATCAGACAGTTGGTTGGTGTAAAGGACAAAGTGTACCGGACCTAATACAGATCCTTGTGGAACTCCACAGGCTAGAGATGTTCTCTCTGATAAGTTGGTACCAATGAGAACAGACTGGCTGCGGTTTTGAAAATATGACTTGAACCATTTTAGAGGATACCCATCTATACCACAGCGGTTTAAAAGATTCCCCAGTAGACGGGTGTGGTCTATGGTATTAAAAGCAGCCGATAAATCGAGCAACACCAGAGAAGCAATACAGCCACTGTCTGCAGTAGAACGTAGATCATTTACAACCCTAAGTAGGGCTGTTTCTGTGCTGTGATATTGTTGATATGCTGATTGGAAAACATTCAACAAGGAATTTGCAGCAAGATGTTCATTTAGACGAATATTGACAGCTTTTTCAATAATCTTTGACAGGAACGGTAAGTTTGAGACAGGACGATAATTTTTCATAATGTTTTTATCCAGGTTGTCTTTCTTTAGGAGTGGAAGGACAATAGCCGATTTAAAACAGTCAGGAAATATACCAGTTGTTAAACTGTTGTTGATTAATTGAGTGAAGAATGGGAGAAGTTGATCAATAAGTTGAAGGACAAGGTGTGTTGGGATTGGATCTGATAAACATGTTGTAGGTTTTGATGCCATGATGATGTTTTTGATTTCCTCTTTACTACAGGGTCTGAAACTGCATAATTTATGTCCGCCAAATAAAGTTGTTTGGGTATTGTCAGAATATGTAGATGAATTTAGTCCACCGCGAATCTTCTCAATTTTGTTGATAAAGAAATCATTGAACGAGTCAGCTAGACTTTTGTTATTGTCTGAGCTAGGAAGTTTTCGATCTGGTTTTTTACCAAGAAGGGATTTCAAAAATCTATGAACTTTACCAGGATCGTTGTTGCAGTTTTGAATATAAGTTCGACAATACTTTTGCTTAGATTTACTAATGATCTTTAGATAGTCACTTTTAGCTTTACAGTAGATCTGGTGGTGGATTTCATGGGTCTTCCTAAATTTACGCTCAGCTCGATGACGTAAGCTTTTTGATTGTTTGACTTCATTATTGTACCAGGGAGCGCTGTTCCGTACAGTCACAGTTTTGTTAGTTGCTGGGGCATGTTTGTCAAGTAATGGAGAAAGAGTATTATTATACAGATTAACTTGAGCATTGACATCACTCATTGGATCCAAAAGTAGTTTTGAATTTGAAATATCAACTCGAAATGTATTCCAGTCAATGGCTTTAATGTTTCTGCAAATAATTTCCTTTTTAAGGTTTTGAGGTATAGACAATTTTAATATTGCTGTAATGTAATAATGGTCAGAATTTTGTCTATTTTCTACATGTACTTCCTTGACAAGGTCAGAGTCATTTGGCGCGAGTACCCAATCAAGAGTATTACCAGATTTATGAGTTGGTCCCATAACATGTTGATTATAACCTTTACAGTCGATGAGGGACACATATCTTTTGACATCCGACTTTATTGTGTTATTTATCTGTATGTTAAAATCACCAAGAATTATGGTATTCGGTTTTGAGTATGAAGACAACAAAGTTGCAAATTCCTGGTAAAAATCAGACGATGAAAGTTTATTCTTTGCCGATGGGGGCGGCCTATAAATGAAAACTACTATAAAACACTTGTTAGAAGCTGTAACTCTTAAAGGTAGCTGTTCAAACGTTTTAGCTTCAAACTTGTTTGAGAGAACTTCAACAATAATAGAACATCTGTAAATTACTGCGATTCCTCCACCAGTGGTGTGGGATCTTGCAAGGTGCACAAATGAATGGGACGGGGGTGTCATGGCTGTTATATGGTGTTCATTGCCATTGGGTTTCAGCCAAGATTCAGTGATGACTAGCATATCGTGGATCATCTTCAGTGATGAGGTCAAAAATTTCAGTTGTTTTATTTTGACATGATTGCGTGTTCCACAGCCCTAATGTAAAAGAGTCTGGATCCCCTAAACTCATTTTTAATGGGCTCTGTAGTATCCCCCAAACTCACCTGAATTCTCAACTATAATCTGAGGCATGCAGCTTGTGCACAATATAGGTATAAAAGCAGGGTGGATAGTGCCTCATTATGGTGTGGGGAGGCATCACTGTTGCTGGAAGAACGGCTTTACATGTTGTTGCAGGGCGTGTTACAGGCCAGTACTACCGGGACAACATCTTGGCAGTCCATGTTGTGCGGTTCGCACGACGTCATGGCCACCGTTTCATCTTCCAGGATGACAACGCAAGATGTCACAGGGCCAGGATCGTTACAGGTTACCTCCAAAACAGAACATCACCACATTACCTTGGCCAGCACTGAGTCCCGACCTCTCCCCCATCGAGCATGTCTGGGACATGCTTGGACAGAGGTTACGTCAATGTCAACAACGTCCTGCCAATGTCCAAGAACTTGCTGCTGCGTTGCAACAGGAATGGGACAATCTGGACCAAAATGACCTTAGACGTCTCATTAGGAGTATGCCACGTCGGATCAATGCTTGTTTGGCAAACAGAGGAGGATTTACCCGTTACTGACTTTGTTGTGATGCTGTGGTAACTTTGCTGTTTGACCCCGGGTATCATTTTACCCTTATAATGGTCAGTCTGTGCCTTACTTAGTCTAACGATCATTTGGAATAAATCGATGAATGTGAACTTCATTTCATTTTGTCATTTGTTTCTTCGTCAGTTTCATTAGGTGACTTTAATAACACTTAAAAATCAAATATCCCCTACTTTTTTTGAATAGTATATATTGAGATTTATAAGAATCATTCAGTGATGATTTGTAATTTTGTCTTTTGCAGCCTCTTATTTGTTGGTTTTTCGTACTGATTTGCAGTAAGGTTATCGGGGCCATGTTCGTAGACCAGATGTGAAACATTGTGTATGGTTGATTGATAGGACCACATTTTTATATGGAATCACGTTGGGGAACAAGTTAACCATAATTGTCGTGACGGTATAATATTGAGGAAACGGAATGCTCAAGTCAGTACCAGATTAGGATCTACAGGCCTAAATTTCGGACTTGGCTATTCAAACAACTGCGCGAGTGTTACAGTGAAGACTATGTTTAGTTGTGTTTATTTGTGTGCGAATTCCAATAGTTTTCAGGGAATTCCAATAAGTCACGAAATCACCCATCGACATATTGAACTCAACATTATTGATTTGTGTATATTGTAATAATGCCATTTTTGTTTTCTTTATAATTTTGAAAACGCAACTGGGGAATAAGTTTTTACGAGTGGCAATATCCAGGTGTCAATCGTGACACCATTTTTTCCTCCCAGAGGCACATCCACATGTACTTAATGATATATTAAAAAGGGTAATATATAGCACATGTAAGTGCAGGAGAAATGCACCACACACAAACAGAAACCCAGAAGAAAAACCAGTAGACATGACTACAATCCAGGAAATAGTCAACATCCCCCTTCCTGAACATTTACCTTGGACAACAAGCTGGGATCCCATAGCAACACCAATCACTTTACAAGTAACATCAGGACTAAGATTTAAATGGTGATACTCTCCTTGATAATGATTGGCTGCTTTCCATCCATTCGGCATCTGAATTTGACATTTATCTACAACCTGACTGGAAGCATCCTGAAAAAGAAACTGCATCCTATTAATGTACAATGACCGCAGGACTCAATTCTGTCAACACAAATCTTCCAACCTCATGTGATGATCTCCACTAGACGCGACAACAACAACCAACTTCATATTTTTGAAATCCCAACCACTGAGCTCAACAAATATGCAAATAACATCACAAAAAAACATAAGCAACCCACATGGAAATGAAGAAAAAGTTGTCTTCAGATGTTTTGGTTCACCACATTTGAACATACTCTCCCGTGTGCATACATGCACCACAAAGGGCAACAAATATGCAGATAATATCAGGCAAAACATAAGCAACCCACATGGAAACTGAGGAAGAAAATGTTGTCTCTAATTGACATTTTGGTTCTCCACATTTAACAATACTCTGCATTGCACATGTATGCAATCAAACTTTGACTCCTAAGCAAAATTTATGCATAGAAATCTTCCAGATTTAAAGAGTTTCCTAAATAATTTCATTCCTAAACAAATGTATAAACGTTTACTTGCCTGAGAAACAGAAGTGTAGCCAGATTCCACCATAAGAGTGTGAATTGCAACCCATACTGCATCATTCTTATTGGTACAACATGCTTCACAATAAAGTTGATTCAATGTGGATGGAATACATGTAACACTTGATTCTCGGCATAGATTTGGTTCCTGTAAACACTTTGTTACCAATCTTGGATCACATTTGTTGTCCTCAAAATCATCAGATTCCATTTCTGACACTTCATGATCTTTGATAGTCTCATGGTCTGATTCTTCAGAAACTGACGTGCAGACATTCTTGTGTTGTATTTGACCAGATGAAGACTGACCGCTATCTCTACTATATGTAGTAGACGCCTGGTGTTCTGCTGCTTGCGGTTCAGTTTTATGTCTCTTATTTAACTGTTCAGATTCTTGTAAAACAAACACAAGGTCACCAGAAACGATACCAAACTCTTCCAAAGTTTTCTCATCTTCCTCTAAACTGTCCACCCCATTTAAACTAAGCTTTACAGATCTAAAAGAATATTAAATACTGTAGATAAACATAGATAAATTTATTCTATTTCCAACTATACGTTTTCAATTAAATAACCAGCGGCTGCCAGGCAGGATACGCCCACATTTTCGAGAGATGGATAGAGAACAAGCTAAAAAGAAAGTGATTTTTCGTACAATCAGGGTCCATAATTCAGGAAGTTAGTCCGATATGCGCGAAAGGAACAGAGATCTTTGAGTTATAAACTTACATTTCACGTTTCAACAAAATCAGATAAAAATTGTGACCTCTATAGGGTCCACAAGCTAAAAACGCGTTTTTTCGTACAATCAGGGGCCATAATTCAGGAAGTTACGGTCCGATATGCGCGAATATCAAAAGGAACCATGATCTTTGGGTTATAAACTTACATTTCAAGTTTCAACAAATCGGATAAGAATTGTGACCTCTATAGGGTGCAAAACCTTGATATACCATATTTTTACGCTATTTGAGAACGAACGGCGGCCATTTTGTCTTTCAGTTTTGGGCCGATTTTCACGAAATTCGAACTCAGCCGGCCTTAGGGTGTAACGGTGATATAATAATACGTTTTTTTAAATTGGATAAAAATTATGACCTGTATAGGGTCCACAAGCTAAAAACGCAATTTTTCGTACAATTAGGAAGTTAAGGTCCGATATGCGCAAATATCAAAAGGAACCGAGATCTTTGGGTTATAAACTTACATTTCAAGTTTCAACAAAATCGGATAAAAATTGTGACCTCTATAGGGTCCACAACCTTGATATACCATATTTTTACGCTATTTGAGAACAAACGACGGCCATTTTGTCTGTCAGTTTTGGGCCGATTTTCACGAAATTTGAACTCGGCCATCCTTAGGGTTTATTGGTGATATAATAATACGTTTTTTTAAATCGGATAAAAATTATGACCTCTATAGTGTCCACAAGCTAAAAACACGATTTTTCGTACAATCAGGGGCCATAATTCAGGAAGTTATGTTCCGATATGCGCGAATATCGAAAGGAACCAAGATCTTTGGGTTATAATCATACATTTCAAGTTTAAACTAAATTGGATAAAAATTGTGACCTCTACAGTGTTCACAAGCTAAAAACGTGATTTTTCGTACAATCAGGGGCCATAATCCATGAAGTTACAGTGCGATACATGCCAATATCGAAAGGAACCGAGATCTTAGGGTGATAAACCTATATTTCAAGTTTCATTGAAATCAGATAAAAATTGTGACCTGTAGACTGTTCACAAACAATTGTGGACGGACAGGGGCGACGACAATATACGTCCACATGAAAATGTGGGCGTATAAAAATGCATCCTCGGTTACACAGTGTACTCATTCCGTTCTACTCCACTATACTCTGAGTTAGGGTTTCTATGATTTCAAATTATCTGCCCTGGCCTAGAATGTAGCTACAGTCTACGAACCAATTAGAAAACAGTTTACAAACCAATCGTTTTGCCTTCGTTTTTATAAGGGTAGATAACCATATTCATGTTCATTTACTGAATGATTTATGTAAATAATGTATATATTTATAATTTATTTATATTTAATTGTATTATCAAAATCTGTAGTATGTGTTGTTGATTTCAAATATGTATGACATCTATATGTTTGACTTTTGTTATTATTATTACTATTCGTTCTTTGTCTGAAATATGTCATTCTGTTATGTTTATTATTATTGAACTTATACTTGGCAATTTGATTCACAATACCTTTGTCTGCGATATCACCTCGGTGGAATTGGACGTAAACTAACAACAACAATTCACAATACCTTGTCTACGATATCACGTGGAATTAAAATTCCGGGAACAAACGAACGAACGATTCTAAATAACACTAATGACCCTTCATTATTATATGAACGTCTGTTCTTCAATAACATAATATATAATTGGTTGTTAATAATTACTCATTTAGAATAGGCCAACTCCTAACATTGTCCGATGAGAGTTACTTACCTTTGCCAACTTCCTTTTCAAATAACAGTTTTTGGGATTGGTCGATAAAAATAGCACAATCATCAAGGGCGGATAACTTGAAAACGTGTCTCCCCCATAGATTAACCCAGGGTATAGAGGAGTAGAACGGAATGAGTTTTGTATGTATAATATTATGCAATACTATGAACTATTGTTTCACACAATGCTCCGAAACGCAACAAATATCGGCCCGTGTGCACAAAAAAAAAATTGCACGAGATGCACATGAAAAACCCAATATTCACGTGCAGCATTGTGTGTGAGCCCTTTAAAAGCATGTTTTCAACTTAATGTGCAGTACATGAACTGTGAAACGTCAATCTGTCGTAATTTGTTGTTGGATATGTGAAGGAATCGAGCTAGAGATGCCGAGACTTACTGAAAATCAACGGAATAAAGCCATGGGAATGTCCAGGGCTGGCATGTCTACACGTGCGTTACAACCCAGGCTCAAGACCGCTACATCCGGGTCACTCATCTGCGTGGCAGAATCCGCCCAGCGACTCGAACAGGTGCAGCAGTTGTCGGAATACAAGGACCAGTAAGTGCCAATACCGTTAGACGTCGTCTAAGAGAAGTAGGATTCCATGCACGACGACCTTATGTTGGAGCTATCCTCAGGGATCGTCACCGTCAACGGCGTTTGATATGGGCTCAAGGACACCAGACATGGAGAAGAGTAGACTGGCAAAGTGTGCTCTTCAGTGATGAGAGTGGCTTTCATCTTTATCACGCTGATGGCTGTCAACGTGTGTGGAGACGTCTTGGGGAACGTCTTGCAGACTGCTGCGTCTTCAAAACGAATCGATGGGGTGGGGGAAGTGTAATGGTGTGGGGAGGCTTCACATTTTATCACCGGACTGCCCTACACATTTGCAGGGGTCGCGTTAATGCTGTAGCCTACCGTGATGATGTCGAGCGCACCCACAACTTCAGCACTTCCAACAAGATAATGCACGTCCGCATACCGCCCGTTTTAGTATGGACTACCTGGCTGCTAACAACATCAATGTCTTGGACTGGCCAGCCATGTCTCCGGGCATGGCACCGATAGAACATGTCTGGGATGAGACTGAATGCCGTCTGTATTGGAGACCACAAATGCACACCATTGCTGCTTTAGAAGCTGCTCTTGTCCAAGAACGGATCAACTTACCCCAGGCCTTCTTTCAAACATTGGTAAATTACATGCGACGTCGCTGCACAGCGTGCGTAAGAGCCCGTGGAGGACACAAGCGCTACTGACATCTGTGTCGTACTTTTGGTTTTGACCCCTCTGACTTTGTACCGTTGATTACAGATTAAACATCCATAAGTGTACAAATGTGTTGTTATTGATGTGTTCCCATTTGAATATTGTTCACAATAAGAAGCAAAATAAATAAGATATGTTTACAGGATCATTTTGTTATACGAAAAACTAAGTGATGCGTTTTCCATGGCGCTCAGTATACATGTAGGCCTACATGTATATGAAACTGTATCATATGTGTTGTTTGTAGAGAACCTCTTTCTCTTTTTTTTTTCATTCAAGCATTACATTCTGAACTACATGTACAAGAGATTTACTTAATACTAATATTATCACACCACACCATTGCATATTATGGAAAGGGTAGATCTGCAATTTGCTAATATTTAAAGAGTAGGCCTTTATTAAATCACAGGAGTCTGACCTTCTATCCGTATATATATGCATACACCATGTCCAACCAGACAATAGGCTGGTTGGACATGGTGTATGCATATAAATACGGATCGAAGGTCAGACTCATGTGATTAAATCTACTAATTCAAGAACAGGTAACACAAAGATGTTTTGACCAAAACAACAAAGTAGTTCACACCAAAAATTAGATGACTTAGAAGGAGAGTTCAAGAATAAGAGTCATTCCATGAGAAAACCATGCAAAATCGTGCAGAATCGGGGAGATGGGGGGTCGGCAGATCGAGTTCATCTCCGGGGGATTTTATGGACTCCCCCTGACTACTTCACAGCGAGAAGGACCGATGTCAAAATTTCACCGTTATTGAGAAACATCCTCTGGGTGATTTTTGGCCAATTTTGCCCTTTTTCAGGTCATTTTTGGTCAATTTTCAGCCACCTATTGTGGCGAGTCAAGGGTTTGGATGAAAATGGTGGTGACTGGTGATGTTAGTGGGGGTCTTCCTGTGCCCCAGTGTGAAGACCATGCAGTCGCATCTATTCTCTGGGAGCAATGATCAGCAAAATTGTAAGATATGGTGAATAAAACAGAAAATATACACCTGCGAAGATTAGCTCTATTTTCTATGATGTTGGGGTAGGTCATGGTTTTATGCACAGCTCGACTCCCTCTATCGATGGTGAATTTTCCCTATTGTAAATCTCTCATTCTCTATGAAATGGCCAACTACTTTCATTCAGGGTAAGCCAACTCTCTCCGTTTCTTCACCAAATCATTTGCCCGCGCTCACTGGTAGCAGCTTGAAACCCCCCCGAGCAAAACTAGTCTCTTTGATGAGGCTTGATATCCAATCCAAGATGGCCGTGCCCGAAAGTGCGCAAAATTGCGAGTTTTCCTTATGTTTGGCCATGTGGTATATATCCCAGATATGACCAAGAAAATCACTTCATACGATTGAAAAAATGTACTAAGGACATTAAGGCCCACCTTTTAGCACATCACAGAGCAATAAGTGATGTGAGAACCGAATGGGAGCTGATTTCTTGATGAAGCTGCATTAAATGGAATATTACAAACGGATGCATGCTGCCACATCTAAGGAGAAGCAATACAAAGACCGCGTTGTGTCACTTGGAATTAACTTATACCTATCGGCTAAGTGAAATAAAATACTATTGAAAAAAAAAGAGGGAAGAAATTGTGTCTTTGAAATATCGATGGAAACCCTGTGTGTGTGCTCGACCACAATCAAATTAGCAGGAAACAGTTGTGCGGTGATACTCCAGTTGATTAAGTTAAGTGATGGGCTTCAGAAGTCCTCAAACCAGCTGCATTGAGTCTGATATAGCTGTAATACCTTTACTAAAGGCCAGCTCTCTGCTTTTTTTTTTTTTAACTTTGGCAGCATTAAAAAATTCTTGTTAATTTTAGAATTTTTTCTTCTATTTTATGTATGCGGGAAATATTATGCTGCCCATAACGAGGAAATGGGCTGTCAAGAGAGCCAAGTTCCTACACTGCCTCAGGGTAGTTCCTCAAATAAAGAAATATGGCACAGAGTCAAAAATTCAACTTCATCATATGATCTTGCTGGGCCTTTTAAAACTGAATTTGTACATGAAGGACATTTCTATCAGGGACCACCTCTCAACATATTCCAATCTGATTAAAATAAAGATTTATATTTCGTTTGTTTTTTTTTATACTTTCGATGACCTACACTACATGAAGATCTGACTGGTTGTTGCGATAGGTCACGTCAGAGGTCATACGAGCGGCAGTCGAACCTATGACGTCAGACATTTGATTAACAAATCAGCATTAATTAGTGCTTCTAGGGGCTTACCCACAGTTCCATGCAAAACATGCCAAAAGCTCGCCGTAACAGACCGTTTCATTGGCTAATACCTCACAGAATTCAGAACACGTCAATGATAACAACTCTTTCAGATCCTAGTGTAGTAAAAACAAGTAAAACAAAATTTTGAACTATAAAAACGAAACGAAATAGGATCTGTGTTTTAATCAGATTGAAAATATTCTTAATATCAACCCCCAACATATATGGGCAATTGAAAAATCTCTTGTATCGAGTCTTCGAATGATGGATTGACTGGGACCAGTTTCAGAAAATTTTACAAATGTTGCCAGCTGCAAATAATACATTAAAAAATAAGTTTAGTAAATTATTTTATATGGTTTGGGTCTTTCAGGTTACTGTTGGAACTGGTGACATCTCTCCCACTGCTACATCATCTGCAGCTACTGGTAGTCATTACTGTCACTGGTGTCGCTACCAATAGCTGTTACAGAAGGAAGAGGCAGCATGGCAGTTCCAATAACCATAGCTGCAGATGATGTAGTAGCAGTAGATTGATGATGGATGCAAGCAGCATTAGCATTAGCTGCAGATGAAAAGCAGCGGGAGGGATGTCATCAGTTCCAGCAGTGACCTGAAACAACCAAACCACATAAAATAATTTACTGAAATTATTTTCTAAGTATTTGCAGGGGTCCCTGTTACCAGCCAGTCCATCATTCGGAGACTCGATGCAAGAAAATTTTCAATGGCCCATATACGTTGGGGTTGATATCAACAATATTTTGAGAGGTGGACCCTGATAGAAATGTCCTTCATGTACAAATTTAGTTTTAAAGGGCATGGCAAGATTTATTTTGGGCTCTGAAAATGATCCCATGATGAAGTTTAATTTTTGACCCTATGTCATATCATTTATTTGAAGAACTAACCTGAGGTGGTGTAGGAACTTGGCTCTTTTGACAGCCCATTTCCTCACTATGGACAGCATAATGTTTACATCCTTCTGGAATATACAATTTGAGACCCAGGCGGTAGCGATGGGCAGCACATATCACCTTTCCAACTAGAATCCCACTTCATCAAGAAATCAGCTCCCATTCGGTTCTCAATTCACTTATTGCTATGTAATGTGCTAAAGGACGGGCCTTAATGTCCTTAGTACACTCTGTCAATCTATTAAGTCATTTCATTGCTCATATCTGGAATATGTACCACATTCTATGGCCAAAAATGAGAAAAAAAACAATTTTCTGCGGTCTCGGGCGTGGCCATCATGGATTGGATACCAATCATCATCAAAGAGACTAGTTTTGTTCCAGTGGCTTTTAAGCTGCTACCTGCGAGCGCTGGCGAATAATTTGGTGAAGAAACGGAGAAAGCTGGCTTACCCTGAATGAAAGTATTGGCCATTTCATAGAGAATGAGAGATTACAATACGGAAAATTCACCAACTTTGACTTATTATTTCGCATTGATTGAAGAGAGGTGACAGAGATTTTATTTTTTATATCGATAGAGTGTGTCGAGCTTTGCATAAAACCATTTCGATATTTTGAACTACCCCCGCATCATAGAAAATATAGCTAATTTTCGCAGGTGTATATTTTCGGTTTTTGTCGCCATATGTTACAATTTTGCTGATCATTACTCCCAGAGAATAGATGCGACTTTATGGTCTTCACACTTAGGCACAGGAAGACCCCCACTAACATCACCAATCACCACCATTTCCATCCAAACCCTAGACTCGCCACAATAGGTGGCTGAAAATTGACCAAAAATGACCTGAAAAATGGCAAAATTGACCAGAAATCACCCAGAGGCTGTTTCTCAATAACGGTGAAATTTTGAGATCGGCCCTCCTGGCTGTGAAGTAGTCTTGAGGAGTCCATAAAATCCCCCAGAGATGAACTTGATCTGCCGACCCCCACCTTCTGCATGGTTTTCTCATGGAATGACTCTTAACATACATGAATGCATTATTCAAATGCAAATTATATTACATGAAACATTACTGGATGAAATATTCACGTCAGCAAATATGAAAATTTTAATACACAATTCATTTTACACATTTAAACCTTACACTGACATTACATATATCAAGTCTTGAAATCACACTGAGGAGAGTAATTAAGTCTGTTCAGATTTTCAGAATCTAATTTGTAATAAGAAATTGAATACAAAACATGATTTTTATTACCGATATATTAAAGAATTTGTACAATATTGAAAGGAGTTCCCTAAATAAATTTATTCTCAGCTGAATGTTGAAACAGTAAGATTCCAATCCATGTAATATAAAATGTCTGTAGTTGTCAAATACGGGCAGTAAGCTTACAGTGTTACATATTAAAAACATGTATTGTCATGTTGCAAATTTAATGACAATTTATGAATCAATGACAAGAATAACTCTCCATTTATCAAAACCCATATTACTGATTCAATTCAACTTAATTAATATACTAATGGATTGAAGAATGTATAAAAAATGTTGGATGCTTACTGAATTACTTTATTAATTAAGGAGGAATAGAAAATATAGTTAATTGTAATGTATGGTATTAAATATTTACAATTTCGTCAATATATTTAGATTAAGATTTTAAAATACATTATAATACGATACCATGTGAATGTCCTATATTTGTTCTTGTTTGTTGTACATGTAACTTCCATACCCATTACAGATACATGTAGGCCAACCCGTTGCAAATAAACTATCATCAGGTGCAACATAATGATTCGCTATCATTAGGTGCAGCTGGCCTGATTAGATTCACTTGAGGTACAGTGATTGAAATGGGGTTCAACGTCCTACTTCTTCTGCACCAAGAAGACCGTTTGTATACAGTGTACTATGAGGAAAATTTTGTTCAGAAAGCATCGCTATAGCACTCTTATTACGAATTTCAACTGTAATGGCCGGGGTGCTTTAATGTGGTAATATACAAGTTACATCCCTAGGTAACAACTTCCAAACTTGCTTGGAAACTGCATTTTGAGTGGGAATTTTGACACAAAAACATTTTAAATTAAACAAGCCAACAGTGAGGCTGATATCCCACACCAAAATCCCAAAATAAATAGATGAGACATATTGATTAATAGCACATTTATTTTTTTCAAACGTATCAAGCAATCAAACTATACACTAAGTTCATAACTCTCTATCAAACAGAATCAAGATTATCTTGTCGCAAAGCATCGACCAATGAAATTGATTAGCTCTGCTTAGCTTCAGCTCGAAATGTTTATCATTGATCTCATCAGTCAAGACATTCATCTAATGAACATCTACTTCAAGTTTAAACATTCTACCTCAATTAAAAGCAGAGTTGTTACATGTATGTTCCAAAGTCTTGACTAATCAAATTGCTTAATGCTCCTTAGCCTAAGCAGAAAATTCTCACCATCGAACTTAGTCATGGTAATGATATAATGAATCTATATTCGGAGTTTCATCGCTCTCACTTCATTATAACCAAAGTTATCGTGCCCCAAAGCATTAGCCAATCAGATTGATTATCTCTGCTTACCGTAAGCATACAATGTTCATAATCAAACTCCATCAAGGCATTCACCTAAAGAAAGCCTACACCAAGTTTGAACATTCTACATCAATTAAAAGGAGGGTTATTGTGTTTCAATGTCTTGACCAATCAAATTGCTTATCGCTCTGTTTACCCTGAGCAGAAAATGTTCATTATCGAACTTATATATAGTCAAGGTATTGATGTATTGAAACTATACACCAAGTTTCATCACCCTCATTTCATTAGAACTAAAGTTATCGTCTCCCAAAGCACCAACCAATGAAATTGCTTATCTCTGTTTACCCTAAGCAGAATATGCTCATCTTTGAACTCCATCAAGGCATTGACCTAATAAACACCTACACCAAGTTTGAACATTCTAGCTCAATTAGAAGGAGAGTTATTGTGTTCCAAAGTCTCGGACAATCAAATTGCTTATCGCTCTGCTTACCCCGAGTAAAAAATGCTCATTATCAAACTTAGTCAAGGTATTGATGTAATGAAACTATACACCTTAAGTTTCATCACTTTTACTTACTTACTTAGAACTTAAGTTATCGTGTCCCAAGGCATCAACGAATCAAATTGCTTATCTCTGCTTACCCTAGCAGAAAATGCTCATCTTCGAACTCCATCAAGGCATTGACCTAATAAACACCTACCCTAAAAGTATCGTGCTCTTGCCCAGCCACAGGACAGGGTCGTGATGCATATTGACACAAAGAGTCGTAAGTTGAGTCCTTACCCTTCCGATATTTCAAATACTGTTGATACTGCGGCTTTCAGCTGATGGAGTGACGTAGGGATACTTTCACAACTAACTATCTTTCTGACATTACCACATTTAACACGAATTTTCATTTTGTTTCAAGAATAATTCAGCAAATGTTGACTAAAAAATGTGTTTTGTTTCTAAGCAAATTGGATTGGAGAGTACGTCAAATAAACCGTCTGCGTTATAGATTTGGATAGACACGCATGCGTCTAATACACGGTAAAGGATCGAAATGAATTAGCTTGAAACTTGGAATGCCTTTATTGAAAATGAAATGAAATGAAATGTTGTTTAACGTTCTACAGTTCTGCTCAGACTGGGCTAATGAAGACGGGCATACGTCATACAGTTTGCTATGAGGGGAATTTTGGCCGGTTAACGGCACTGCTTATCGAATTCCAAATGCCAGTGGATCTTTTACGTAGGGGAGAACGGGGATGGTTCGGACGGTGGGATGGTCCGGACCCCCCCCCCCCCCCCCCCCCGTAGATTTAATCTTTACAATGCTATCCGTTTTCTGATTGGTTATTATAATACTAAAGATCTTTTTTGTAACATGGAAAACATGGCAGAGATAAATATTCAAATGTAGAAGCAGATAAGCTTTTTTTCTATTTTTGACAAAGTTGATGTAAAATATTTCTAAAGTTAAATGGTTAAATTAATTCGGTGTTTAACAAGTTTCTTTTAGGAGTAGGCTGTTGCCTCTTTCTCATTCGCTAATTAATAGAAATACATTGAAAATTTATCATATTTTCATTGTAAATAAACATAATGGCGGCTTATATCAGAATTATGGGTTTGGGGTGCATCCGGACACTGTTCGGAATTACCCCAGAAGTGTTCAGATCAAACCGTTCAGTATTTCCAAGAGACAGATTTGATAAAAAAAAAAGAATGATGACTGGCAGATGCGGGGTATAATAGGTTTACTGAAATTGTGGGTACATGCTTTACTTCCATTAAATCAAATTCTGTCAATTCTTCCGAAACCCTAAATTATCCAGTAGCAACAAGGGAATGAGTTAATAGGCTACTACAAATTTGGTCCGTCATTTGCGGGAATAAACATTCATTATCTTTTTCGATGTAAATTTCGGATTGATGTCATACCTAGAGAATAGCAAGGAGCTTTAAAGCTTTAGAATTATCAGTTAATTCCTTTGGCGTGACTTGTGGCAATCTCCACACATGTCTGTTAACAAGGTGTTCAGTCGAAGGGGAGAGGGTAACTCCGGAACTGTGGTTCGCAGAGTACTGAAAATCGACAGGGTTCTGTCCCTCATGTCCCTCATGATCGTGTCAACAACGTTTCTGACAATGAAGGTCTCGGTGAGCCAATAATCAGTAGGGCTCGTCTTCTCACGAGCCCAATGCATCACACCGAATTTGTAAACGAGAAATCGAGACACGAGAACGACAAGGACTGTATAATTCCAAAACGGAAAATCGATAGGTTAGGGTCTACTATGTAATTTTTTTTTTTTTTTTTTGGGGGGGGGGGGGGGGTCCAAGTATATTCAGACCCCCCCCCCCCATGTGTGACGCCCATGCATGTACGGTACACAATGTGACGCTTTTAATCCCCGGGAAAAACCTTGACGTGCTTGCAGGGTGGTCTGGACACATATTGAAGTTGCGACGGTCATATCAATACATTTCGGAGAACCGTAATTAAAAACCGAGGTGAAAACAGAGGAAAGTATTTTGTCTCTAGAAAAACTAGGTATCATCATACTCGACAAGATCCTTCTGGGGCGAAGTTTCGAGCTCTCAACAATGATGTCTGACATAGTGTTCTTGCTCCAATGTAGCAGCAAACAACGCGTTTCCAGAGATGTATAAGCTATTTCCCCAGCAGAACAGTGTTGGTAGTCTGCATTCTATATTAGCTTGATGCGTGTTCCCTGTAGTTTAATATGTGAATGGTTTTAAGTGTAATAACTGAGATAAATCTATTTGCTGCAACCTTTTATGATTAGTCCTTAAAAGCCACAAAAGATCTTTTGTCGAACTCTCACACCATAATGTACAATAAACCATTTATTGCACTCAGTGTAGATGGTTGTTGTGTTACTATTGTCTTTCTGGTTCTCCCGCAGTTATTATTAGAGTGGATTTGATTTTTGTTCTGGGCAGACTGGTATATTGGAAGAAAAGGATTACTAAAATAAATTACTTTTCTAGACAGTCTAAGACTCTACAGTCTGACTTCTATAATTAATACTTTTCGTTTTAATTTCTCACTACAATCTTGATAGTGTAACACGCAGTCCAAACGACACAATACCATAAAGATCAGAACATTATCCTACGATAATTAATTTTGGAAGTCACCCTAAATTGTTTCGGGAAAACAATAATAATAGGTATTTCGTTAGTTATATCATTAACCAGCAAGACTCGTGACATTTTTATTCTGTTTTAATTGATTTTCAAAATAATCCCTATTAGCCTTGATCGTATACAATTTACGTTTACGGACGTCATTCGCCACGAAAACGCCAATATAAAGATATGGAGATGTGATTTTTCGAAAGAGCACAAACCCTCATCGCCCTTGAACTTGATGTCATACTGTGTAATTCAGATGTCAAAAGGTTCTATGGGGTCAGAACCAAAGTGGGCTATAACCCCAAATTTTGAAAAAAAAAAATTATACCAGGAAGTTCTTGAAGTCCTCTATTTAATGGTCTATGTGGTATCTGTATCCCCAGAATAATAGCCATGTCTTGTTTCTCATCACAATTTTTTTTTTGCATAATTATGCTTAGAAGACAAAAGTCTGGACCAGACACGTCTAGGACACAAATGGAAGCACCCATGAAGCACAGCATGTGTTTTAAGGAAAAACTGTACAGACCTGCTTAAACAAATATCAGAAAGTGATCATGTCCAAAGTATGATTGGAGATGACGATAACGCTCAACCCAACACCCACCCCTTCCTGGCAGTAATTATCTGAAATCGTTATGTCAAGACCTTAAATATACCTTCTCACGTACAAACTACATAACTGTACATTTAAATCTCTTATTGTTAAAATTATATGTGTACCTTTATATGTCTTAAAAGGATTCACTTACTGTTCTCACAATCGCTACATTACTCTAGCAGACAGCAAGCCGACGCTTTGCCAATTAGTGATACCTTTACATTTTTGCCTTATGTGCGCTCCATGGGTGTTTTTTAGGGAATCCAGTAGTTTTATAGTAAGAATGTAGTGTTTCTACTTTTTACTGTAAGTAACTACCCTATAAATACTTTCATGGGTTATCTAGTAAGAATGGAGTGTCTCTTTTTTCCCATACTCCTCGCAGTGTTTCGTTTGATTAGAGCTAATCCAACTTAACACTGCTGTAAAGGAAGCAAATGTCTGTTCCAAATTATGACTGGTCAATAGTCCGATTAACAACCAATAGTTTACCGCGTAACAATATCATTACACTTTAAACAGAGCTCCAAATTGGACCAAATATGTTTACATAACGCTTTAGCCATGACTCACGATGTTATTACGCCCAATTAACCAGTGTATTACAGAATATTGCAGAAAAACTAACTGCGTGACAAACGAGGCTATCAGCACAGATACAATATAAACAATACTGTTTGGAGACAAACAATACTTTCACCGTTTTTACTACCTTAAATCACTGTCCAAAGTTTTAGGGAAGACCCCAGATTAAACGAAGGCTGGTTGCTGTACTTGGGATGGATTTGATTGAACGGGAAGAATAGACACACTCCCTCAAAAACTCAAGTATCAGAAGTCATTTCTCGGGCATTGATATGCTACTTTCCATACCTTCCTATTTTGTCATACTTTTATTTATGATATATGAAAATTGATTAAAATCAGCTAAAGAAACGGCTCATCCCCACATCTAAAAAACTGTTCGACTCCGAAGTAGACCCATATGAGTGACCAAATCCTGAGAATATGAATCAAAACTGTTACTTGTTAAACAAGCGGTTACTATGCAAGATACGTCCACATTTTTAAAGAGATGGACAAAGAACAAGCTAAAATCGCGATAGTTCGTACAATTAGGGACACTAATCCAGGATGTTACGTTCTGACATGCGATAATATCAAAAGGAACCAAACTCTTTGGGATATAAACATGTATTTTAAGTTTCATCCAAATCGGATAAAAATTGTGGCGCCTATAGAAGGTCGACAAGCTAAAAACGTGATTTTGTCGTATAATAAGGGACCATAATCCATGGAGTTACTGTCCGATATGCGGGAATATCACAAGGAACCGAGATCTGTGGGATACAAACATACATTTAAAGTTTCGTCAAAATCGGATAAAAATTGTGACTTCTAGAGGGTTCACAAGTTCCTTGGGATTTCATCCTTTTTTACACTTTTTGCGTAGGAGGAGTTGCCATTTTGTCTAGAGTGTCCACAAGTTAAAAACGTGATTTTTCGTACAATCAGGGTTCATAATTCATGAAGTTATGGTCCGGTACATGCCAATATCGAATGGAATCGAAATCTTTGGGATATAAACCTATAATTTAAGTTTCGTCAAAATCGGATAAAATTGTGACCTGTAGATTGTCCACAAACAAAATTTGAACGGACGTCCGGGCGGACATGGGCAACAATATATACCACATGAAAATGTGGGCTTATAAAGAATATTAAAACACGCACTATTGGTTCTAAACCTAAGACAGCGTTATTTTAGAATTTTTGATTAATCGGTAAATAGAAGTTCTTTCATTTTTGTGCTGATGTTATTGTGGGTTAGAGCCCCAAAAAGTAGAAAATCCTTTAGAACCTGAATGGTCTAACCCATTTTGCCACAAAATCTCAGGAAAATATTAAAATGTGAACTTAATAATATACTCATGAATTGAGGCATGGCATTACACGTGGGATGTCAAAATATCACTGATTTTGATGTGTTACAGAATTTTTAATCATCGATAAACTTTGAAGTCAAATATCTCGAAAAGTAGTCATTGTGGGTTAGCCAACTTTGGTTCTGACCCCTTTTCTGTAAAGTTTACGATCTTACGCGTATCTGTACAAACTGCAGTAAATTTTCACTAGGTCATTACAATAAAGATTTTACATCATTAAAATGGAATTACAGTTTAGAATTGCTCATAATATGGATATTTGAAATTTTTACTCTATATAATAT